CAGGCGGGGGAAGGAGAGGGGGAGACAGTGGTACTGCGGAGTCTGTGGAGCGCGGGGAACGCGGAAGAAGGAGATCATGACATGGCGGAGGACACCAGTTTTGTCCAGCAGGACGGCCGGTTGGAGCGGAGGGTCATGGCGCCTCGCTACAGCCTAGTACGGGAGGTTGGAAGAGGTACGTACGGGGTAGTGTACGAAGCGGTGGCGCGGCGGTCCGGTGCCAAGGTGGCCGTGAAGAAATTGCGTTGCGACGCGCCTGAAAACGTAGAGCTGGCCTTGCAAGAGTTCTGGGCCTTGACGAGTCTGGAGAAGCGGCATCAGAACGTGGTGCAGTTGGAGGAGTGTGTTCTGCAGAGAAACGGCATGGCCCAGAAGATGAGCCACGGAAACAAACGGTCCAAGCAGTACCTGCGTTTGGTGGAGACATCCCTGAAAGGTCCGTACATTTGTCCTATGTTCTTTAGGTGTAAGCAGTTGTTGACACTGAAAGTGATAACTTTTTTATTATTAGAAAATGGGCAAAACTGATATTTTAACCATTCTTTCAATGATTGTCTCGATTGTCTTGTTCCTCAGGGTAAAATCTCAGCCATGTCACGGTTTGTTGTTAACAATCGTCCATACGTGTGTGCGTGTATAAATGAATATATGATTCAGTTATTTGTGCAACCTGTGTTTGTTTAAAGTAGTTATATTAAGGGCAACTGAACTGGTATGTTTTCCGAAGGCGTTTCATCTGTAAGACTGTTCGTGCGGCTGATTTCTGTGGTCAGTTCGCGTGTTTTCGTCGCCATAACTCGGACTGGTCGTTGGGGGAAGGGAACGTTTGTTCAGCAACTCCCAAAATACTAAAATGGAGTCTAATCTGTTTCCTGCCCTTTTCACATTTCACTGACAACCGACCCAGAGCAATTACAACAAACGTTGTTTGAAATAATTTAAATGATTTGTTCATTTTCGAGTTCTTCATTCTTTGGTAAATAAAGTGAAGTTATTACAGTCGTGGCGTCCGCACAATACGACTTGTATTTCTCTTTACTAACACAAACATACCGGTAAGAGGTCTGTTTTGACTGGTTTTGACCGGACTAATTACTATGAAGGGTCTACGTCAGTTACCCGGTAGTGTATAGCGTCGTGCTGTGGTGAATCCGCGTGATCAACCTAAGTATTTAGCAGGAAGGAGGACATGTAAAAGCATCCGTCACTGATTAAAACACCAAAGTTTGGAGTTTTGGTCACCGTGGGCTACTGTAAAACACGATCCAACATGGCAGCCTCCATACAGCCTTTCTTAATAAAGACGAACGTGTAGCACAAAGAGGCGAAACTAATAGTTGGTACTTAACTGGTAAGCTTCAATGAGGTCATCTGATATATATTTTACCAAAGCAGCTGGAATGAAAAGTGCACCACTTTTGGCTTCAGGAGCAAAGGTTGTACAGGAGGCTTCTTGATATCTAATTTACCCATATCTCTGTGGAGTGTCTTTGATCAGTGACATCATCATTGATTTTTACAGTTTATTTGAAAACCTCTCTGTTGTTCCTTTATTTGTTGTGACTCGTGAGTAACCATTGTGTTTGGATTTCAGGTGAGAGAGTGCTCAGTCCCCCAGAGGAGCCCTGTTACCTCTGGTTCGTCATGGAGTTCTGTGAAGGAGGTGACCTCAATCAGTTCATTCTGTCCCGGCAGCCAGACCAAAAAACCAACAACAGTTTCACGTTTCAGCTCACCAGTGCCATCGCTTTCCTGCATGAAAATAACATTGTTCATAGAGACCTTAAGCCAGACAACATCCTCATCTCAGAAAGGTCAGGGACTCCGGTTCTCAAGGTCGCTGACTTTGGCCTCAGCAAAGTGTGTGCTGGTTCAAGTAAAACTACTGAAGGCAAAAGAAGTGAGGACAGGGGCAAAAATGTCAACGTCAACAAGGTGTGGTTGTCCTCAGCATGTGGATCAGATTTTTTCATGGCTCCTGAAGTGTGGGAGGGTCATTACACTGCCAAGGCAGACATTTTTGCCCTGGGCATCATCATCTGGGCCATGTTGGAACGAATCACTTTCATTGATGCAGAATCAAAGAGAGAGTTGCTTGGAATGTATGTGAGGCACGGAGCAGACATTGTCCCTGTGGGCGAAGCATTGCTAAAGGAACCAAAAATGGTATTGAACATTCCCCAGAAACGCAGGTCGTGCATGTCTGATGGAGTGAAAAAGCTTCTCCAGGACATGCTGGCTGTCAATCCTCAGGACCGACCAGATGCCTTTGAGCTGCAGGCCAGAGTGGACCAAGTAATGTGTGCGGCGTGAGCTTTATCCAGGCTGTGGTTCAGGTAGATATCTGTTGCTTTTACATTATCTGCATTCATGACGCTAAGAAGTGCACAACAACAGTATCAACAACAAGCTTTTTTGTTTCCTTTTCTTTCTTTCTGTCTTTCTCTCTTCCATTCTCACTCCTCCACCCAGACAGTTCAGCCATAATTGTTAATTTTTTGCACCAGACTGTTGTTTTTATCAAACCTTAAACTAACCCGTGACCAAAGATCAGCAGTCAGCTGGTCCTTCAATGGTCCCACCTACCCCATCTTTGAAAGTCTGTGACGTAATTGTCTTCCTTCAGTTAACATTAACAGTTTGTGAAATGCAACATTTTAGGCCATTAAAATAAAAGTTAGTTCAGGGTGTGTTTGTGATAGCACTGGTAGAAAGTTCGAGGGTGGGGTTGTTAATGAGGTTGTCGCCCTCAGGCAGAGACACCTGCACTAACCTGTCAGGTTTTCTCAGTGCTGCCTATATGTATATAAGCCTTTTGGACTTGGGTCCAGAAGCCTTCAGGTTCGAGTATATATAGTATAAGTATATAGTAAGAATATATAAAGATTTTCAGCTAATTCTCCAGTTCCGTATGTGTCTATGCTTGAACTGAGAACTGTGTGTTTTGTCTGTCTGCAGTCAACCTGGAGCTGCTACAGCAGGGGATCTCACTGATGCTCAATGATGGTGATGAGAAGACTGAAGATATGGGAGAAAGAGAAGGAACACCTTCATTTACCAAAAGTATTTCTGGGATCTGAGCAGATGACAAGAGAGGACGGTCATCATCGAGGATTGTGAAAGCTGCTCCAACAGAGACAAGAACTACAATTACTGATGAACAGGCACTCGAACAGAGGTGGAGACCAGGACAGGTGTGAAGTTCTGACCTGGTGACCTCGGAGTTTCTTTGAAGTTGTTTACTGTCAGCTGTACGTCATACACTTGGTCCTGGCCTTAATATTTGAACCAGAGAATTAGGATTCCTTTTTGTCTTTGTTGGGAGTTTGAATAATGGGATAAAGCTACAGCTCCATCAACCTGTGGAGAGTGTCTTCTGACAGAGCAGAGAGCAGTGTTGTGTTGTTGTTTCATGTGGTGGTCCGCTGGGGCCAGCACTCTCCATGTGTCCGAGGAAAAATTCCAGGATTATTCAGTCAGCCTGAGCTGCTGTAGTCGTTTTTTTTCCCCGAAGGTGTTGTCAGGTCTCACACCGGAGGCTGTTGGTGTTGGTGTGGATTTTTTGTTTTTTTTTACCAGTGGTTAGTGAGAAACAGACCCCTGTTTCTGTCCAACAACACTTTGCTGCTTGGTGACTTCCAAAGGCTGTTCCAATCTTGACTGTTCACATTTGATGCCTCACGTGTGTGGGTGCGTGCATGCACAGGTGTGTGTGTGTGTGAGATTTAAAAGTTGCACAAAACTGCCCCTGCAGTCTGTTTAGTTTAAATGCTGTGTCCATGTGGGGTTATCTTTAGACCGCTGACAACATGGACTCGTATCGCTCAAGTAAAGAAATGAATAAATCGAAAAGAAATGAGAATAAATAAATGTTCTGTTTTTGAAATGATTTCAGTCTGTGTTTCCACCATGTTCAGAAACCTGTCGTAGCATTCAGTCAGTCAGAGTTTCATAGCCTTCCCTGTGAAACAAGGTCTGAGTGAATGAATCAGAGATGTTAGTTTGTTTGAAACAGCGCCAGTGTTGACTTACTCCATTATTCAATGGGATGACAGAACTTTTTTTTCTCCTGGTGAGTCTAACAGTTGGAATGTTAGCATTTAGTAAAAATGTGAAAAAATGCCTTTCTATTTGTGTTTGTTTTAGGATGTATATGATCTTTGGCTACATTAGCACATTAGCCTGACCACCATGTGATGGACACTGCTGTCTTCTGCTGTTTACCCAGTGTGTTTCTCAGACACATTTTGAATTTGACTCCTTTTGGTTCACATTTCCTAAAAACCAGAGTGAGATTCTGAACAGAACTCTTAGGTTTCCATTTCCCCCCGTGGTGCCTTCACGGATCACTGGTTGGGTTGTGGCTCAGGAGATTTATTAGGCAGAGTGTGTAACCTTGAATAGATATGCGAATGTTGATAAATTAAATTGAGTTTACTCTATTTACTGGACAAATCAGGAATTTGAAGGGAAGTGAGCGACTTTATGTTGGAATAAAAGTGCCGTTCCTGATGGACGGACTGTAGCTGCTCACTGATGTCACTTGATTTAAGGCTCTCTACGGTTTCTCCCTGGTTCTGAGTCTTTAAGATTTTTTTTCTATATTTTTACAGGGCCCTAAATCTGGCAGTAGATGAGTGGCAGAATGAGCATGTCAGTGTCAGATATCTAGATGTTTGTTCTCCATATTTGCTCTACCTCATTGTTTCTGCTCAGATTTACATTTTGTTTTCTTTTGAGTTCACGATTCATTTGATGCTTTTCTTGATTTCTTGATTTCCTATGTCAAAGGAACTTATTGAAAAGACTTTGTTTCCCTGCAGGTCCAGTGTGATGGGTTTGCATTTGTGACACTTTGTTTCACTGCTGCCTTGTAAAAAAATAAATATATATATATATATATATAAAACAGTACTTGAAGTGCTGTGACTACAACTCCTCCATCTGTGGACCGGAGTGAACTGCGTTGTGCTCTGACTTTATCACTGTCTGCTCGTCTTCCTTGGTTGTTGGCGTAAAGAGCAGCAGCTTCACCTTCTCTTTAAAGACTCTTTAATGTTGAGGACAGAAGCCACAGTCCTCGGTTCTACTGAATCCTTCTGCTTGAATCGAAATGTCTTTGTTTGTTTTATTTCTCTTTATGCTCTATTTAAATAAAGGTTAAGAAAACTGGTCTCTGCCTGTTTGTTGTTGTAAACACTGTTCGAAATCTTCCATTTAGAATAGAAGTGACAGGAATCCACACCAGGAGCTCCAGCTGTCAGTCAAACCCAGTGAGTATGTGTCAACTGTCAGAGGATTCTTCTAGTATTCTCATAGGAAATTTACTTTTTTTTTTTTTTTTTTTAAGATCTGAAAAATGTGCCACATCTACAGACATAATTATTCCAGTTTAGTTTGGAAACCACTGTTAAATATTCTTTTTGTTCTTCCATCTTCTGCAGTTAAATCCTTTTGGGGAGTGGGGTTACTGAAAATCCCAGCAGTTTGTAGGTGAAATATTTAGTTCTTAGTTATTTTAAGATATCCCACAATACAAATGCATCAGCAATAAAAACTAATGTTAAAAAAATAATAAAAATATTTAGTTGTAAGGTTTCAACATTCAAGTTTATTTGTAAAAAACAAATTTATCTGACAGTAAAAAAAAAAACAACTTCAGTCACTACTTACTGCTTATTCCATTAAATGATGTGCGTGTATGTATATACAGTATATGTTTGTATCTACACAAATATAAATATGTTTGTGTGTGTGCATACATATATACATCTGTATATGTATGTACTATATATATCCTCATATAAACACATCTATCTGTATAGTAAATGACTGTTATTTTGAACTCTCTGCAGTACCTTTTTGCCAAATGGGGGCTTTAGAGAGTTTCGTTCAGGAGGTCAAGTTCAGCAACAGAGCAGGTTTGTATAGTGTTTTTTATCAAACCAAAAACTTGTCTTTAATGGGAATCAATAGTATGACTTTATGTACTTTCACAGATTACATTCCTATTATTCATATTAATATTTTAAACAAAAAACGAATCTGTTTTTTTATATATTTATTTTTAGAAGACTGGAAATAAAGAGCTAAAACCTTTTCATTCACCTGAGCTGAACCTGGACTCTCCTCCTCACTGCCCTCCCTGCACATCCTAGACAATAAACCAACTCTGCAGCAGCAGTGGAAAAGCTTAGAAGCTGGAAGTGGACATTGGTTTCCATTCTTCTCCTGTAACTGTTTACTTTGCGGTTCACGGACCGGGACTTTAGGACGGAGACTTTATAAATGAAGGGAGGTCAACAGCCCTTAATAAATACACCTCCTCCTGCGGCGACCATGCAGGCTGGAGAACAGAGGTGAGCAAGATGAACCCAAGACAAAGGCAGCTGCTGTGTTCCCTGCTGCTGTGCACCATCCCTCAGGTAAGACCTGCTGAGGAGAGATCTGTCCGTCGCTCTGTGAACAGTGACATCGCTGTGGTGATTGTTAAGAGTATTGTACTGGAGACCAGAGTGGTGCAAGGTAGAAGACCTACAACCCTACCAACAGCTGAGCCGTCCTTTTAAGAGTTTTAATTCCTGTACTTGAAGTAGTACTGTAAATTGAACTTTATTTTGTAGTTGGAGGCTGCTCCTCTCTGGATTATTTTCTTATGACATGACTCCACAGAAATTGTAGATCAGAGCATTCTTAAAATACATCATGTTTCACACTGATCAGCAATTAAACAACACCATTTTGTTTGCGGCCTCCTAACAAACGGCCCACGACTTAGCGCTGGTGTGTGGCCTGGTGGTTTTACGGGAACTTGGAAACAAGGCTGCAGTAAATTAGTTGCTTCTTTTTCCTAAAAATGTGCTCAAAGTGCAGATGTTTCTTCCATATGTGGTTCAACAAAGTTGAACAATTTACGTTGGCATCAAACTAAGGCTCTTTTACCTGTGATGTTTCCTGTTTCTTCTGACAAATACTCCTAAAAATAAAGCTGGTGATTGGACAGAGACGTGAGAAGGTCCATTACTCTGACTTCAGGTGTGCTGCCAGCTGTGCACCAGGCCTTGTCAGTGTCCGTCCTCAGTGCCGCAGTGTCCTGCTGGTGTCCCCCTGATGTTGGACAGCTGTGGCTGCTGTCAGGTGTGTTCCAGGCAGGAGAGCGAGGCCTGCACACAGTGGCTGCCCTGTGACACACAACGAGGACTGCAGTGTGACTACAGTGCCAGCTTCCCCGGTGGACCAGGACAGTGTGTAGGTAAGAGCAGAGTCCCCTAAGACTGTCGAGTAAAGTAACTCTTTATATCTTCAGTCAGACTAACTCTACTCTTTTTATCCAAATTAACTCTGATGTCTTTATTCAAACTAACTCCACTGTCTTTACTCAAACTAACTCAAATGTTTAATGACACAAATGTTTTTCAAAAATGTTTTTTCTCCTTTGAGCAAGTCAAGATGGAGTAAAGGAAAAATTGCAATTTTTACAAAACCATCGACAACAAAGCTGATGACTCATCTGCATCGACTGTGAAGGGAGGTGTAATCAACAAACAGTTTCAACAGTCCAAACAGAAGCATGGCCTACAAACTAAATTACATTTAGTGTAGTTAAGTAAAATTCATTGACTAAGTCTTTGACAAAATCAGAAATCAGATAAGCTGGGGAAATGTACACTGGAGTAGAAGAACTAATTATCAGCTTCACAGCAGGTCATTTATTTTAAACTACTCCTAGCAATGATGATGATGGTGATGATGATGACGATTGTCTTCTGTAACTTGCAGCAGTCACAGGGTAAACTAAGTAGACAGAAATGACACTTTTTCATGTACTGCATTAAAGATTTGATCACAGCTTTACCGTTACAATCCTGCTGTGATCTGCTGCTGTGATCATGTGACCGATCAAACCCTGTCTTTGGTTCCATCAGGTCGGAACGAGCTGGGCTGTGAGATAAACGGCCGCAGACTGGAGGAAGGACATGTGTTCCAGCCCTCCTGTGCCCGGCTGTGCCGCTGCCTGGGGGGCGGACTTTCCTGTGTTTCCCTGTGTAGTGATGATCTGCACAAACCTGCTGATCAGTGTCACAACCCTCAGCTGCTGCGACTGCCTGGACGCTGCTGTAAAGAGTGGGTGTGCGACGGCCTGGACAACAGGATCTCCTCCAACCCATCGGAGGGTAATGAAGCCTACTGACGGCGGTTCAGTCTTCACAGTGTGGCGTTCTCCTGCTCTCCCAGTGTGTGTGTTCTCCAGTTTCCTTGGAGATTAAGTTAATATTCACTCTAAACTGACCGCAGGTGTGAATGTTAGTGTGAATGGTTGTTTTCTAATCCCTCTCACCTGATGTTGACTGGGATTGGTTCTGACTCCACCTAGGATAGAAGATGAGTGAACGAAAGAATGCATTATTTACAGTAAGTCTATGGTAAAACGACCAGAGTGATGTCTGAAACTAGTTTTTTAGGCCAGGTAAAAATCTAAGGCGACAGAGGTCATGGCATTTGACATGTGGGGGACGATCAGGTGATTTGAAGACAATGTCAGTCCATGTGTCAGAGGAGTAAACAGATTTCAAATTCCACACCTGTGAGAACTATTCTTAGAACCCTTCCTCATGTTCTCAGCAGTTCTTTGAGAACACATGTGCTACGTTCTCCGACCCGTGAGCCCATCAAAGCTGTCCACTTCAAAGGGCTTTCTGCTCGATGTTCACTCAAAATATTTTTCCTCTCTGTCGTGCCTCTACAGCAGAACAGACACGCCAGGAACGCAGGGGTGGCCTGGCCGGTCCGTTGTTTGGTCCCATCTCCAACTGCATAGAGTGGACCTCAGACTGGAGCCTCTGCTCTCACAGCTGTGGCCCAGGTGTCTCCACCCGCACCACCACCAGGAACCGTGGCTGTCGTCTGCAGACAGAGACCAGACTGTGTCAGATCAGGCCATGCCAGACCCTGCTGCCAGGGATCCACAGAGTGGAACCGGTCAGTGAATATGACTCACCGTATGGTTTTTGCAACAGCCTGTTGTTCTTGTAGGAGGAAACCACTGACGGAGAACAGACAAGCAGTCTAGGTCAGAGGTTCTGAGGTCACACCGTTCTTCTTCTATGGCATACAGGACAAGAAGGTTCTAGTGAGTCAGAACCCCTGTGTAGACTCTGTTCAAGATTACAGAAAATAATTAAGAAACACTGTTTTAATCCATCACCTTAGTTAGCAGGCAACACTTCACTTCCACCCCTGCTCCACTATATTGGTATCGGTTGATATTGGAATAGAAAATTAGGTGTTTGGACAATATCGGCATATCGGCAAAAAGTTTATATCAGACATCCCTACTTTAAATAAAAGAATAAAATAAAGAAGAACGTCAACAAAGACAAATGAATGAATACACTTCTAGCAAGAACACAAAAGAACAAGTCAACCATTAGAATTGTTTTGTTTTTATTCTACATCTCAGGGGTTGAGCGTCTGTGATGGCAGCTTCACCTCCCCCGTGTCACTCACCCTGGAGCACCAGGGCTGCCGGAGCCTCCGAGCCTACCGCCCCAAGTTCTGTGCTCTCACCTGTCCAGAGAGAGGCTGCTGCAGCCCCTCCCACACCAGGACAGTTTGGCTGGTTTTCCGCTGCTCCCAAGGCAGACTGATCCAGCATCAGGTGATGATGATTGAGTCCTGCTCCTGTACTATCGCCACCTGCCGTCACAACCCGGCAACAGCATCCAGAGGTGTTCGTCGCTGGTTATGAGGTTGATGAAGGCAGAGAGACGAGTGTAGCCTGCTGGGAAAATATTGAAGATAATTGTTTCTTACATAGGAATGCAGCTGTGCAGGAAGTGGAGAAGTGTTTAAAGGAAGTGAAATGCAATCATTGCATCTAACTCAATGTGCACTTTTTGGAGTGTTTCCAACTGTGCAGGCAGCCATTCTCTGCTCTATGCAGACTTCGAAAAACTGCATTTGTTGACATTTTTAGTATAGCTGATGAAGTCCAGAGCAGGAGAAACTACGTAAAAATATGTTTGGGCCTGGGACACACCTGTCAACGAATTTCAGCTACTGTTGGGTGGAAATGGAGGAGGCAACTTCCTTGATCAGGAGGGGGTCTGCAGCAGATCCAGACTCAGAGTGTGCAACCTTCTGTTTCAACATGGAGTCTGAGGGGTGAGTTTTAAAAACTGTCATAATAATCAACCTTACACTTAACCTCCACAGACCCCTCTGTTGAAGTACTCTCCTGCACAGCTCCGTCTCCTCTTTATACATGCTCTTTATACATTTGAATGAAACTACAATAAAACAAAGTTAAATCACAAACTTGACCCTTTGTCTGATGATAAATCTATGCACAAATCGTGTGTTGACGAATTTAACGTTCAGACAGAAACTGTAGTTTAGCTCAGCGGGACCATGAGACGACTATGACAACCATGATTAATGTTGACATTTTAAGTTGGTCAGTAAAATAATTGGCCTTTTCTCCTTGATCTTTTACTTCCTACGGGATCCGTGCCTGTCCTGGCTCTGGTAGAGTTGGTTGTCACGGTGATGTAGAAACGTGAGACTGGTGAATCCAGAGTTAAACCTCAGCATCAAAGTTCAGGTCCCAGGCGTTTGGAAACATTAATGGATGATTCCATTCAGCAGGGGGAGGAAAGGAAACAACGTTGTCGACAGGTGGTGATGAAAGAAAAACGATCTTGTCATGAACACAAGGACTGTATATTCAGTAAATATATACAATACTATACAATATATATACTATACAAATACTGAAAAATATGATTCTTTATTATATTATGTATTAAATAACAAAAGTAATTATTTTAAGCAGTGAAAGAGTTGACAGACTTGAGCTTCCGAAAACCTTAAAAAAACCGCGTGAAAGAATATTCTGTGGTAAATGTAGTAGTGCTACTAGGAGAGATTTCCCCCACACACACACACAAAAAAATCTTTAAAAATTAGAATGTACTGAAAGTAGATCTTGGGGGCAGTATTGCAGAGCAAAGCAAGCCAGCTGCTCAAACAAAGAAGAAGTTACGTCATTGCTGAGGTCACGTGATTAAATCCCACGCCACAACATGTCAGGTTGCTGTGATATCTGGTGAGCTAGCATTTCGAACCACAACAACCATAAAGTGGCTAATGGTGAACCTTCCCGGCAGCTGAACGACTGAAGCTTTGAAAAGATGCGTCGTCGACGATACGTGCATCAAAAGCCGCCTGAATGAGACGACGTTAACCGGTACGTTTGTCGGCAGACTTTCCACAACTTAGCAGCAAAAGGATAACAAAATTTAACTGTTTGTTAGTGAATGTCAGAGAGACATGGAGCCGGAATTATATAGCGGTATTAGGCAAAAATCTTCTGGCACTTCAATGATAATACACTAGATAATTTTGTACTATAAGATGTATACTTTTGGTCTTTTTTTAATTATTATTATTTTTGTTTGTTTTCTCTGGTTCTGTGTTCTTTTAGTTTAATTGGCCGAATATAGAAGGTTCCAGGTGTTACTTGATTTAATGCTGTAATGCTATTCCTGAGACAAAACGTCGCGTGTTTATTAAATAGCAAATTATTGAAATTATTGGTGTCTGACCAGTATTGACCGTATCCACCAGATTATTGTTCGTTTTTATTTAAAATAAAAACAAATATGTAATGTGCATCCCTTGAAAATGTACATTTAAGTAGTTTTAATAGAGGTAATTTATATTTCCTGTTTTAATTAGAAGGTATGCTTTGCTGTATGCTTTGTTAAAGTTCATAGAATTGAAGATGAGAAATGGAAAATATTTATTTAAAACAAGGTTTTTGTTAACAGAGACGCAAAACTTAACTAATCTGATTGGTTATTAATGTTACATTCCTGTAATAATTTGGTCTCCCAGGATAAGATATAAATGTCTTTGTCTCTTATAAAGTAAAGTGTAGACAATTGAAAACTAGTGGAGACATAAAGGTGTATCACCACAGATGAGCACCATTCACATGGCTGCAGCTGAAACAGTGATAGAAGGATAAACAATTGATAATTGATTGACCTGATAAAGATCTGTTTTGGTCTTTTAGAAGATATGTGGCACTATCTTCAATCTCACACTGTCTCACACTGTCTGCAGTTCACCGGTGGTACCTGAAATAATTCATGCTTTCGTTGGTTCTCACTAAGACTTTGTTTTTTTGTGGTTAGAAAGGTATCCCATTAAGGTGAACTACTCTAACCCTACTGAATTGTTAATGCAACACATTGATACACAGAGCTGTAACGGTGCAGTGTTTCACCCATGCTTCATTGTTTGTTCGGATGACAATTGAAGTAGAGTGTTGAAGTAGTGCTTTGAGTTGAACTGGCACTAGGGTGACATCAGGATAAATATGAAATATATGTAGACAATAGAGATATTTGTTAGCTGCTAAAGAATAGTTTTTTCTGTTGTTCACATAATTAAAGAGATGTCAAAATTATTTCTTGTATTTCAGATTATAATTAAGCTAACCTCACTGTTTACTGTTGACTGCTTTTCCACTGGGGTTTGTAACATAGCAGCGAGAATCTCCCATGTGCATACAGCACGTTTACCTTGCAAGTAGAGAGTTGTGGATACGATACCCAGAGGAACCGCATATCCCTAAGGGCGCCTAGCGTGGCAGCCGGTGTTGATTGGGAAGCAAATTGTAAATTTCCCCATCTTTAGCTCCCAAGATGTCTTTAGAGCCGTTTCACCTGCTCTAAAGGTTAAGTGCCCCGGGCAACAACACAGGTTGAAGCTCAGTTCATCATCTCTCTCTCTCTCTCTCTCTCTCTGCTTGATTATTCTGCACAAGACATCTCATCTGTATTACTTGATTGCATCGGTTCCAAGAAAGTGGTTCTTGTTTCACCATTTGTTTACCTGAATACAATGATTTTGTACATCTTTCAGCTCACCATCCATGGCAGCTGGAGTTGGCAACCACGGTGACCCACCCTGCTTCCCGCGTGTTCCAGAGATAAGCACAGAGATGGAGTCAGGTAGGAGAGCTGTCCATACAGCATGTACGATTACAAGAAAAAGGATGTGAACCCTTTGAAATTAGACCAGCATTCACAAATAACAACAGGTGTTCTGCAGCCCATCAGTTTTATTGTCATCACAAGTAATTATGAAATTTTTCCTACAAAGTGCACTCAAATATAAATAGGCTAGCAGTAGTTATCATGACGAATAATATTATGAAAAAGTTATATTATACCAAAATATATTTGCTCTCTTTTTCGTGCACTGTCACAATATACTGAAAGACCCTATACATGTGTTAAACATTTGATGAACCATATTTGATTAATCACAGTCAGCAACTCAGTCCAAGTCAACATACAGTCAGTTCTGGCAGAGCTGCTGCTGTTCTGTCTTTTACTGCTGACGTTGATTCTGTATAAGACATTCGGTGTTTAAACTTTCTGTCGTTAAATAAAAATGTTTCTAATGTCTGCTTGTTTCTGCAGCAAATGCAAAGGCCCCCACTGCAAAATACACAAAGATGGGCGAGACCCTGAGGCACGTCATTCCTGGCCACATGCAGTGCTCCATGGCGTGTGGTGGGAAAGCCTGCAAATATGAAAATCCCTCTCGCTGGAATGATGACGAGCAAGCAATCAAAGGAATCTACTCATCCTGGTATTGTGAGCAGTCTCTAAAGTGCCTGACACACAATGTTCATGCAAGTTTGTTTAAAGCCTGTGTGAGTTTTAACTTATTATCAAACTATCTAGTGTTCTAGTCTAGTTTGATAGTACGTAAGTTGATTCATTTGTGCTGATTTGCTTTTCGTCTTTGCATGTCAATCTACGATCGCTAGGCACTTGTTGCCTTTTGTTTCAGAAGGATTTTTGAGTAATTGAATATTTGTTGACTTTACCTTTTAAACATGGTGTTTTTAGCTCAACGACCTTTTTGTTTGTTGATCTCCTTTTTTTATCTATGTACAGGGTCACCAACAACTTGCTAGCTATGGCAAGGCCTTCTACAGAAATTATAGAGAAGTATAACGTCATTGAGCAGTTTCAGAGGTACTTAAGCTGTTTTTCCTTATTGTTGTTTTTTATGTTAATTGTTGCTGTAGTTTGTTGTAGATGCACGCTGAAATTGTTTCTGATTCCACGGAAAAGTGTCTACGCTATGTTGACCTGTTATAACATGATGTTCTTACATGATTCTACCAAAGGTGTGGTTTGAAGACGGTCATTAACCTGCAGAGGCCAGGAGAACATGCCAGCTGTGGTCACTCACTGGACCAGGAGAGTGGTTTTACCTATCGCCCTGAAACTTTCATGAAGGCTAGCAGTGAGTTCTGCGATCACATTGTTGTTTCTTAAATAGATGCCATCTAGGTAAATAATTAAAAATATGTTAGCTTTTACGTAATTGTCTTTAAACCACTTTTCCAGCACATTGGCAGATTGTTTACTTCTCGGCTCATTGCATGATGCACATGGGTTGATGATGATGATGCTGATGATGATGATGATGATTGATAAACATGACTGCCATTTCACAATTTTTGGCCTTTTTTCCGTTGTGTTTAGTATTTTAAAATGCCACACTTTTAACAAGCTACTCAGCTGAGACTGGGAAGAAAACATTCAATGAATCATTAGCTAATATTTAACACGTTTCTATCAAAACTCCAAGCTCAAAATGGCATTTTTACTTTTTAGGAATGCAAAAATGAATGTGTTTTTAGTCGCCTCAACAGGAGTATGAACTTTTTTATAGGACTTGCATTTTCTCATAATCATCATATGGTTTTGCTTACACCTGGAGCATACAGTTGTTATGACAGTTACCAAGGGATTGCACTTATGATGTCTTGGAAAACTGCACTATGTCTCTAGCTAATAAGTTCTCTTGAGATTTCGTCCTGGGTCACCTAATCATCTCGTACGTGGTTAGTATAACTTTGGGACGTAAAGAGAAATAAAGCTCATAGTAAATATTATTTTACCCAGAACTATATAATCATAACTTTTAGGTAACTACATCACAGAGGGGAGATGTAAATCAAGCATTTTTTTAAAATCTTATATACACAAGTAACTCAAGTGTAAAGGTGTACTTCTGTTATAGGACACACTGTACAGACAAGACTAACTCTGTGTCTTTTGTATTCTAGTCTACTACTACAACTTTGGATGGAAGGACTACGGTGTCGCATCACTGACTACAATTCTTGATATGGTGAAGGTCATGTCATTTGCTGTGCAAGAAGGGAAATTAGCAGTCCACTGCCATGCAGGCCTGGGCAGAACAGGTGGGTAGCACATTTAAAGAAAAAAATGTGTCTATGTCATAGCATATCAACGAACGGTTTAATTAATCGTTAAAGTATAGATTCCATATAAATTACATATTAATTCAAATTAATTAAGGTGAACTCCTTGTCATTGTGACACAGCTCACCACTGCACACAACCAACTGTGACCTCTGACCTCTGCTTTTAACCCATCACCAAAGTGAACAGTGGGCAGCTTTAAGGACCAGGGGAGCAGTGTGGGGGGACGGGGCCATGCTCAGAGCACCTCAGTGGTAACTTGGCAGTTGGTGGACTCGAACCTTAAACCTTCATGACCCAAGTCCACTTCCTTAACCACTAAGCCCCCAATACCCCATATTTGTACTCATGACGAGTATATCCCCTTCTCACCACCATTGTAGATGTATACTACACAGTATGTATACTTTGTGCAGTGCAGCTTCTCAGAAGTTGCCTGTAATGTTTTTGTTTGTGTTGTGTGTATGTTTCTTTTAAGGAAAAGGAAAAGAAGAAATGATAGTGTTTACAGCAAAACACCCCTATTATTGGAATGTGAAATTCTACCACTGCTTTTCTAACTGTGATGTGAATGACAACAATTATTTCATAGCACTTGTATTCTTTTTCTCTATTTACAGGTGTTTTGCTGGCCTGTTACCTAGTCTTTACGTTCCGCATGAGTGCTGACCAAGCCATCCTGTTTATACGAGCAAAAAGACCAAACTCCATCCAGACGAGAGGTCAGCTGCTCTGTGTCAGGGAGTTCGCCCAGTTTTTGGTTCCCCTTCGAAGTGTTTTCTCCTGTGCAGAGCCCAGAGAGAACGCTGTCACCTTGTCTCAGTACCTCACTAGGCAGCAGCACCTGTTGCATGGATACGAGGCCCGACAGATGAAGAACGTGCCCAAAATTGTCCAGCTGGTGTGTAACCTCCTCCTCGACATCGCAGCAAATAGAGAAAGCACAGTTAAGCAGAATTGGCCAACAATCGCTGACCTCTCAGTGGAAATAAAAAAAACAGTGTGTGAGCAGGCTCTGCAGCAGTTGGGGAAAGAGATGAGAGGAATGGGCATACCCGTTTCTCCATGCCTGTCTTTGTCACGATGCGCAGGACCCCCACAGTCCCAGGCCTCCAATGAGCAGCCGCTTTTCCATGACCTGGACCAGGACACCTTGTACAGGAAGCAGAAAATCCAAACCACTGAAAATTGCCCTCTTTCTAACAGCAGGGGTCTCAGTTACAGCGACTCTTTTCTTTACAAACATTCCCAACAGCAGAACGGCTTGATAAGCTGTCAGTCAACGAGTCAGTTGAAACACCAGATACAACTTTCTATCTCTCATAGCAGTCTTGCTACATTTAACCCTCTCAGACTGAGTGAGCTCTCGGCTCAGGACAATGTCAGCATCACTCACGACTCAAATAAAGAGACAAAGTTAGAGGCTTGCATGGCCATTTTAGAAATCCAGCAACATAAAAGGTTTCCTTTAGATCCCGCCGAGCAGAGAAGAAGACCCCACTACAACGTTACTCCACCAGCTCCATCACCAAACGGACAGTTTAAAGAGCAGCAAGACTTGGAGAGCAGAGCAGAGAGAGGAGTGAAGAATCTCACCCTCAACCTTGAAACTGAGTTGTCTGTTGAGAACAGACACCTGTTGGTGGCCGAAATTTTGGCCATGGATGTGAAGGACAAAGATGTTTCCTTTAAGGTCTCTCAGTGGCAGGTAGGTTTCTCATAATATACCAGTTAATGTACTCCATAAGTACGTAGTATTACAACTTGAATAACATCGGTTGTTATTGAAGTGCATTATTGTAGTGCTTTTTATGGAGATCTTAATAATGATGAGCTCATTTTTTTTTTTTTTTTTTTTTTAGTTAACACATTTATTTCTAATAATAGTATGAATCCTAGTGCAAACTGATATGGAAAAGTCAGGGCTCCAGTCTTGATTATACTGACCCCAAGTGGGCAACCATTCTTGAGGTCTGATGTTGTGTTTTTTATCATTGTTTTCTTTTCAATGGATGCATCTGTGTAAACACAGACCATAAGTTTCATAGTAAAAGAGCATTTAAATATTGAAAGTGCTCAATCCTCAGTTGAGTAATACCTACCAGTCTATTATTTTGTTTTTGATAAAATGCAGAACCAAATGTTCTGACCTACATGCTATCACCTGACGTTGGCTGCACAGAAGTCACTTTGTGTGTGTGTGCCAACATGTGGAGGCTTGCTTGTGTGTTAGAGCACTTTCGGACACCAATCCAGTGTCCGTGATGCTTATGCTTTTCAAGAATATTACCAGTAAATATTTTGTCTACAGTTCTAACAACTTTTGTAATTCTGGGGGCATTTGTTTAGAAACTTTTCACAACCACAAATTTTCAAACAACCACATTTCTTTGTTATTGTTTGGTGACCTGTTTACATAAAGCTGTACATATCGTGTGCCACGAGGTAAATGAATGATGAAATCAAAATCAGACATTATCTATATTGTGTATTTAAACATTTACCCATTTTCTGTCATTATAAGAGTTTCACATTGACAGGCGTACAATGAGACAGTCTTTATAATTATTAGGTGTTAATAAATTAAAAAGTTTAAGATGTTGTCATTTCAGGCTTTTTTTTATGCTACTTACAGACAGAACTCAACTCCAAAGAGGGGGCGTGGGAGAGACTGTGCATTGAGAGAGATCCTCTGGTTCTCTCCAGTCTGATGTGGTCGTGGCTAGAGCAACTCAAGGATCCAGTCATTAGCAGTGAAGATATAAAAGCGCTCACTGAAAATGACGTCAACCCCAAAAATGCACTTAATTTACTGGAGCAGGTACAGTACGTTTGTCTGTGACAACACTTGGTATCCTGTGCATATTTATCCAGGAGTAGTGCTCTAATGATAGTGAAAGCAGTTCTTGGTAAAACACCAATAAGAGTACAGTATTTTCCGAAGTATAAGTCGCACCAGCCAAAGGATGAAAAAAAGTGTGACTTATAGTCCGGAAACTACAGTAATTAGGTTTCACTGATGGTGTTGATGCCTGGTGTGTCTACCTTATGTATAGTATGTCACAAGTATATCTAAACAAATACTTATAAAGTAACATTCTCGTCACAGCTTTTCTCAGATGTGCTAATTGAGGAGTCCACTTTGATGAAACACAGAAAAGAGCAGATCTCATATTCTTGGTTACTAGGATAAACTATTCCTAGTAACCAAGCATATGAACTCTGCTCTTTTCTGTGTTGATCAACTGTATACTGAAAAGTAAGTCATATTTTTATTTAAACCAGTATTCTAGTAGTGGCCATCTACTGATATGGAACAATTACAACAGTGGGGATGGCAGTAAAAAGTAAAATCAGCTGCAGATGTTTCTGTTAGATATCTATGGTATGTGGTATGGTAATTGAAAATCAGAGTTGGTACAAAACAAAGAGTAAATAGTTTCATTTGAACGTTGTAATAACTTACAGAAATGTTGTGGTTTGACTTTCCATGTAACTGCCAGGGTCACCGGCTCACTCTGCTGTGTGTCCTCAAGTGTGCTGCGCAGCTCCAGCCAATGCCCAAAGACGTGGAGACTCTGTTTCTCAACAAGATAATAAAGGTGTTTACCAAGGTGAGACGTTCTCTAAGGTTCTCTGAGGTTGGCTTTGAAATAGTAGCAGTGTGTTTCAAAATGTAAGCAAAGCTTGATATTCCTATAACTCCTTTAACGTCCATACACAGATGCATTGAGCACAGTGAAATGCTTTTATCGAGCGATGTGTTCTTGCCGATATCTGATATGCTGTTATTGTCAAAAACACTTAATTTCCGATTCTGATATCAACCAATACCGATACGGGCCTGGTAATATTTATTTATTTATCTGTACAAACCACTGTATGGCTGAGATTAATTAAATGAGCTACAATGCTGCCATCTAGTGACTTTCACTTTAATATACAGCGGTTTATCCCCAAAACTATTTTTAAGTAAGTCATTTGGCAAAACCAAGGTATTGTGTTATAGGGTTTTCATTATCAGAGGAAAAACCAATAAGTCTTACAGATATCACATAATATGCTAATATCCGGACGATAATATTATCGGACATCCCTACTTTTAGCTTTTACTACTACCTGTTATTTCAACAACAACAATTCAACAATTATTATGCAACAATTGATTTCTTTTGGTTCTTTGTCCAGATTGACCCCAGGTCAGAGATAAATGAGTCTTTATACCTGACACTGAAAGCAATCCTCACTCCTGTTCTCCATGACCTGCGTGACAATGCTGTGGAAGTGACCGAGGACAACTGACCGATCCACAGTGAGACCAGACTTTTGATAAATGAAGTAACTCATCATAGGCATTACTGCGTTGCATCAGAATCTGTTGACACCAACCCTTTTGTTGGACCAAAGGTATGTGGAAGATTCAGTGTTGACGAACTCGAACACTGCCGTGATGTGTGTGTGTGTGTGTTGCTCAGTTTTCCATGTATTCTGGTAACTGACTTTTTGTGTTAAGGTTGACTTAATATTGTTCTCATAATATTAATGCTATTTATTTATACATTTGACTCTAATCAAAGTCTCCAGAGTTGGAGATTTATACAAAACGCTTTGCACTGCATACAAAATATTTATTGAAAACTCCGAAGCAATTTAACCGTGGTAAAGGAATTGAGGATGTTTTGTGGCTAGAGAATTTTATTTTACATGTGGATGTGACAATGCAACGGCAAGGACCGACACTGCATTTGTTTTTATGTCTTTGTTACTGTTCAACAGAATAACTCTCACTGCTCCCTCCTGTCACACCAGCATGAGTTCAACACGAAGCTGCCACACCTGAAAATGTTGTCCTGGTCTTCAGGATTCTGTTTTCCTGTGTCTGTGTGGGTGTAATTGCAAGAATATTCGCATTTTAAAAGGTCATTTTCTCAAAATTATTAAGTACATGTTACTTTGCAGTTTTGTAAACAAACACTATATTTTCATTGTGACAGAGACCTACTTTGTACACACAATTAAACACAGACTGACTGCACGCTCTGTGTGTTCAGTCCATATAACACTTGTGGGACTCAGTGCTTCTTCTCAACCCTTAAATATCTATAAACCACTTTGCAATCAGCTGTAGTTTCAATTAATGCCACTAGATGGCAGAAGATGTCGTTTACCTTCGTTGGTTGCTCTGCTTTTTTTTTTTTTTTTTTCCATCAACCTGTCCTGTCCTTCAGTTTTGGTCAAACAGTGAGGTTGAGACGCCCTTCTGTTGCCAAGTAAATGTATTTCTGCACCTGGTGAATGAACAAACACTCTGATTTTGTCTTACTGTTAACATCTGTAAGAGTACTGGGTGAGGTGAGGGGCTGCGGCTGACAGCTAAAGCCCAGTTGCCTTTGACACATGCAGTACTGCACACTGCATCAGTGACTGTTGTTCATCCGCGGTTAAAGCAGCGCGATGGAGAGTGAATCTGTGACAACGGCTGATTTGTGAACAGTCTTCAAAATAGTCAGCCCTCTGGTCAACAGGATGAAACAAGATGCAGCAAGTACTGTATCTGCAGCAACATCAGACTATGATTGGCATGATTCATGAAAATCACTTATGCTAGCCTACCAGTTACTTAATTGTTTTGCTACAATCTACTTAAGCACCTTGATAGGGGCTTATGTAACCCCACAACTACTCCATGCAACTGGGGAACGTCATCAGGCAGTCCCAACACCTCATGCAAGACAATCCAGGCTCTTCTCATGGATCATTCCACGCTGGTGGAACCAGAACAGGGGCATCCCTGCCTATTTTCAAAAAGCTCTTGAAGAGTCAGCAATACAGAGAGCACATCTTGCCCTAGCACTTTCCTTTACTTTCATTCTCCTTAAGAAGTCCCAATTTACTGAATAGCAGTCTCTTTTCAAGAGTTCCTCTATGTTGCTTAATTGTTAATTCCCTGAAGTCCCTTTGTATAAAAGCATCTGCTAAATAGATAAATGGAATGTGAATGCATGTGGAAGGGTCTGTCAACACCATAAGGCCCACAGCTGTCACTCATACATCACTGAATGTTCCTCAGACCCGCTTCAACACTGACGAAGCATGTTATCCCTGAATTGACACTTTAGCACCAATATTTGACTACAGCTTCACACAGGCAGCAGAGGCTTAAGGGAAGAAACTCAGAAGGGGAAGATGCCGACGGCCTGTGGAACCGGTCTGTGTGCTTTTAGCAGTGTGTTATTGAGTTTGAAAGAATGGCTTGAGTTACAGAACAGGTTAGGTGGCTAAAATAATCATTCTGCATGATGGTATGCACTCCTGCGCCCTTTTTGCACCACATACACTGAAGTGAACCTGCGTCATATTTCGCAGTCTTATTCACAAAGTAAAGTGATACTGAAAGAAAGAAATGCAAACGTTAAAAAAGAAAAACCTTGAATAATAACGTGTTTGATTTACAGGTGTCTCTTTGTACCAGTTAAACATCATTTATTTTTGTGTGTTTATTATTATTGGACAGCTGTGCGTGTCTGACTCATATATTATGAGTTGGTTGATTGAGAACAGGTCTTCCATGCTTACTGTTACTTGTAAATACATACTGAGTTCAGTTCACAGGTCCTGTTTTCTTTGGTTTCTTCTCATCTGAGTTCAACAGTCATTTAAAATTTAATTCCACCCTGACTTTCTCACAGATGTGACAAAAGAACGCATTACTGAAAAGTAATTGGATACACTGGACAGTGACACAATTGTGACGACTGAGTAATGTAGTCAAACAAGTTACATGCTGTTGCTTTGTTGTTCTGATGTGTGTTGCACCTCCCCACCTCCCTCCCCACTCCCTGCCCTCCTCCTTGCCCTCCTCCCTCCACTCCCTTTACGTCGAGCCCAGTTGCACACCTCCTCAAATCACAATCGACCGTGGTCAGCCGTGTGGATGCTCGTTTTTTGAAGTTTCACACGGACTTCAGGTCGGGTCGTTTCGGCTCCAAGTACCTAGCACTTGAACACACCTAACACTGGTGAGTATTCATGTTTTTTTATTTTCTTCCTGTTGTTAAGTTCCATTGAAGGAGTCAAATACTAAACTGCTGGTATTGTCGTGAAGACAGTATTACCCACAGTGACTGAATACTACGGTACATGTAGAATAACACACAAGTATCAGTGACAAAGCATTTTTAATTTGGTATATGACATGGGCCACTGCTCACACTGTCGTTGGGCAGAGAAAATAAATGGATTGATTCACAGTAATCACTTAATATGAATAGTATTTACAGTTATTGACAGGTCTTGATTGTCTGGTTTTTGAGTTCATCCAAATGTTGGAAGAACTCTTCAGATGTAGTTATGTATTTATTACATCATAATGGATTTATATATCTATATATGTGGCTTCTGTAGCTCGTGGCTCTTTGTGTTATTATTAACAGAACTCTTCAACCATGACCTGGATGACTGAGAATCTTCATAGAAGATTATGGTATTGTTTCTGCCATGTCGCTTTGGATATAAGCGTCTGCTAAATGTAATGTTAGTGTTTTGACTGGGCCCAGAAAAGGTCACCGCAGATTTGTTGTACATGAAACACCTTTGTTCCTTTGCAATTCCAAAAGTTCTCTCCTCCTCTGAGATAGGTTGTCTATTACAAAAAGGGAACACCACACCAAAGCTGCAGTTTTTGAAAGCCTTCTTCTAGCCATCATAATTTGGTTATTAACCTCACCTGTTGATGAAAGTTTCTGCTGATCAGTGTGTGTGTGTGTGTGGGCTTTTTAATTTTGCAGCTTTCATTAGTCCTTCTAGCCTGAGTATTTCTGTAAAGGTGACTCCCCCCCCCCCCCCCCCGCCCCCTCGACATTAAACTATTTGCAAGATTCCTTTTTTAGTTTTACACTTTCTCTTCCTTATTTTCACTTTTTCACTACACATCCTCACTACATGACATCGTTAAAATTGAGTAGACTCTAAAAAAAACTCTGAAGTCCTGCAGCCTCTAATATACGGTATACACTACACATAATCAACAATCATTTTCCGGTACATGACATTCAGTAAAACGGTACACCTATGTAACCACATGTCTTTAAGCGTGTCAGAAGGACCCAGAGAGGAACAAAGTCCTACAACGCATTTGTGACGAGTCACCAACTTACCACTGACATTAGTGACATGAGATCTCAGATTAGCCTCGGATCTTTAACGGGAGAAACGGCAGCAGGAACGTTAGGAGACACTGGACCAGAGCTGTGACGCAGCAGGGCTGCCATGACCAGGCGTGGTAGACCTGGTTGCCACGTCTTTGGCAATTTTTCACATCCATTAACAATCTTGAAGAGTGATCAAAGGCATGCAGTGTCAGTAATATCAGAACCAAAGTATTCAGTCTTGAAGGTTCCTCCATCTGAAGTATTCAGAATGATGTTGCACTCGTCTGTCCTGTCTGTAGCTGCACCGCTATCTTTAGCCAGTTTTACTTTGTGAGAACCACCTTTAGCCCAATGAAAAGTGGCGTGGTAGATGACACACTGAACTGTGTCCGTCCATTGGTTTTGAGTCTAGAGGCACTCTGAAGGTCTCGTTGCTAACAATTCTCTGCTCTAGGTGTGGGCAATATTTGATCCCAATTAGTTTACCGATAACAATTAATATGACAATTAATCACAATTGCACTTATTAAAGTTTAAGTACTTCCGGGAATGGATGGGTCAGTGGTGGCTTAGTGGTTAACGAAGCGCACTTGGGTCTGGAAGGCTTCAGGTTCAAGTCCACCACTCCCCACACACTGCTCCCCTGGTGCTTAAAGCTGCCCACTGTTCACTTTGGTGATGGGTTAAAGCAGAGGTCAGAGGTCACAGTTGGTTGTGTGCAGTGGTGAGCTGTGTCACAATGACATAATTCACCTTAATTAATTTTAATTAATATGTAATTTATATGAATCTATACTTTAACGATTAATTAAACCGTTCGTTGATATGCTATGACATAGACACATCACCTTCTTTCACATCACTAATCATAGTAATCGCCAAGTGGCAAATGTTCCCCAGGATCAGATTTTCTGACCATACGTTGCACGCAATACTCTTTTGCACAGGCCTGCTCAGCTACCAGTGTCACTCAGAAACAGGACTAGGTGTCGGACTTTGAACTCATTGCCCTCATTTGTCCCACACAGGTGCCACCTGAAACATGATGGCGTTTAATTTGCATTAATCTAGGGCCTGTGCATGCTGCCTCGTTAGAGTATGAACAGCTGTGAGTCACTGTGCTGTGTCGATCAGCAGGTCTGACCAGTTTGGTGCAGTATTATATCATGCTGAAAGTCATGAGTCAAAATATGAACCGAACACTGGGCAGGTGAGTAGAAATGACTTGTAAAACCGGTTGTGAGTTCAGGCTGGTACATCTAGGTCTCAGAAGTGCTGAAGCTGAAGCTAACCTCCGCCTTTTGGTAATTTTTGACAGTTTTTCAGTTTAGGGTAGAGCTTGTGTCAGCTAGGTTCATTCCACTCGAGTCACTCAAACATGCAGTCAATCACAACTGTCACATACAGTACATTTAAAACTACAAAAACTGAGCACAGTCTGTATAACTCTCAGTTTTTACTGACTTTTTACTAAGCTATAACAAGTGGAGTTACAAGCTGAATATCACTGTTGGGGCTGCTCTACTGGTTAATTGGATTGTTAAATATCCCTCAGACTAGAGCATAGAATTTCAAACCACAATAAGCAGCAGACCTCAGGCAACAGTATGTGTTTTCCAACACTTTGGACTTCAGGTTAGTTAACAGACCTGAATGATGACATTTGAAGCTGGCAAGAGAGCCCTGAGTCCCATTCTCATATTTCAACAATATTTCACAGCCTCAGCAATACTTATTGTCGATCTTCAACACAGGAAATGTTTAGCGTGTCTGTGTGTCCTCAACTCAGACTTCAGGTGTTGACTTTGCTCAAACCAGCAGAGCTTTGTTTCGCGGTTAATTAATGTCCCGTTTTCGAAGCACATGAGGAACATGTTTTGAACTGCTAAAATAAAAACGACATAAAACTGCTTTTTTTTATACAAGCAGTGTAGGTCAAACTTGTACTATTATTAGAACTTCATTTCAATAAACAACACTCAGTCATGCTGGTTACTGGTATAAAAATCTACAAAAGCAAATGAAGGATATGCAAATTCATTGTTGGGTCCCATTGGGTCCTTTATTTTGGCACTTTTCTAGTCATGAAATATAGTTACAATTCTTTGGTTAGATGATGAAGCGATCCAAAACAGAATTTAGGCTGAAAAGGTTTGCATTAAATCAATACATTAAGTTGTAATTCTAGGAATTGTAAATGTGTTGAAGAGTTAGGCCACATTTAGTACATTTCCTGATATATTTACATACATATTTGCCAAACTTCTATATCATTATTTTTTTTCATCCTACAGTAAAGTGCCTTAAAATGACTGCTGTATTTGTTTTCTGTTTATGTGGCTTTAAGTCTAAAAGCATATATTAACAAATGTTTTATTTTTCTCTCTTCTTTTCACACTTTCTGAAACGTAGGACTCGTTGGAAGACAAACCATGAGCTCTTCACTCACCAACCAACTGACTGTCTCCAAAATCAGACTGTTCAGTTTCTTCATTGGCTTGGCACTTATCCTGCTCATCATAGCCTCCTATGGCGTGTTGTGGTACCACAAAGGGTTCCTCTTCACTCCAACACCCTACCAGCCGAGCCCTATGGTCGCTGCACAGCGGAAATCAGAAGAGGAATTGACTCCTAAGAATGTCAAATTAGACATGAAGTCACTGATGAGCACCATCGGCTCTAAAATTGACTACTCACCAAGAAGTATTCCAAAGCAGGAGGAATTGGTCGAAATAGACACCCTGGTAGGTATATAAAATATATGAGACCTAGGTACACCCCCAATGAAGTTCTAAGTTTTTCCTGAAATAATCCTAATGTTGAGGATGACAAAATGATAACATTTTTAATCACAGCTGATAACATGTGATTTAACATGGGATCGTCTGCAAAGAATGATACAAAGCGCTATCCATTTTATTCCCAAACTTAGTGCTCTCTAATCCAGTTGTCATTGCTTGCAGTGTTTTTTTAGGCCTTGTTTTCTAGTCTCAGCCAGTTTTGTCCTAATCTTCAAATTTTTTTTTTTTATACCAGTTAAGTAATGTACTTCGGCGAAGAATCTCCATGGCCATCAAGAGCCCCTGCTGGTACGCAATGTTCAAGCCTGAAATCTATGCTGATGTGTATAAGACTTGTCAATTCACCAAGGTCTTCTCAGAGTTCAAGACTATGTTTGACAACCTGTGGCTTGACTACGAGGAGCATTTACGAAGCGCAAATAGTGGGAAGTTTCATTTGCGTTGTTTGCCTTACTTTTACATCATTGGCCAACCAATGTGTGGAACAGAGGACATGTTTCAAAGACTGCGGCTGCACCCGGAGATCCAGTACAACATTATCAGTGAGCCAAACTATTGGACTTGGAGAGGCTTTGGTAAGTTATAAGAAATGATTATGAGTTTGATACTATTTCCTTACGTGAGTTAAGAGTGCTTTGAGTTTGGTGCCATGCCTTTGACCAATAAAACAACAAAAGGGTTTAATGTTTGACTGAAGATGATTTGATTTATAATATTATATTATATAATAATAATATTGTATTATATATAATTTCACTGCATAAACCTGTAATTTAAAGTCTGAAAATTTTGGAAAGCAGCTTTATGAACTAAATATATACAATCTGTAAGCATTCTCCATTCATTGAAGCAGTCATTCATGGATGTTGTGTCGTTCCCTAGGTCAAGGCTTTGAGCATGAGGGCGTATTCGTGGAGAATATTCCACCAAAAGATTATCTGAACTTGTTCGATCTGTCAGCCAGGATGATTCATGATTCATTCGAAAACAGAGCCAAATATCCCAAAGGGCCCAAGATCCTAACAGGTGACCATACAGTAGGTCAATGTGTCTAATGATGATCTCACTCGCCTAGAATCAATCCTAGCCTGGTCCTTTAGTGGCGTCTGAGGGCTTTTCTAAACTGTTCTCTAACTCTAACAATTCTGCCAACTCTGTCTGTAGGTGAAGCTAGTCCAACCATTATGTCCTGGAACAACCATGCCTGGAGTGAATTCTACAACGGCTGGCAAAATGGAGAACCCAAATTCATGACCATTGACTTCATCAACTTGATTACTCCAGCTGCAAAATTTATAGCCATACTGAGAAATCCAATTGAGAGGTAGTGCAGCGACATCATGTGTTAAATCTGCCTTTTGATAAGACTCTTCCTGACAATGTTTTTCAACACTTCAAATGAGTGTATTCCAGTAATGATGTGTCAGTGGTGAAACTGTAAAGTAATGTATTCTTTTTTGCTTTTTGTCTGCTTTTTGTCTGTGTGTCACGCTGTCCTCAGGCTTTATTTTGAATACATGAACTCAGTAAGAGAGATTAAGACGCCAGAAGACTTCCATCAGAATGTCCAGGAGTCTTTGCAGACGTTTCATTCTTGTCTGTCTGTGGCCACACTTCGAAATTGCGTCTACAACGACAGTTACACAGACCCCACCTTTTTGGTGAGGTCAAAATGATGTTATGGATTTTATCTCTTCACCAGTTGAAACAGGACAACATGTACCAAATTAACCCGAGTTTAACCAGTCACTCTAGCACCAAGAAAACTGAAAGTCATTTTGTCACAGATTTGAAGTGACAATCCAGTGCATTTCTATGGCAAGCTAAACAAAACAACTGTGTTTTACCTCAATAAACATAACAGACCACTGTATTTGTAGAAATCCTAAGCCTTTACCTTATTCTATAAAGGTATGTAATGACTTGTGTGGGGGAAAAAAAAGAAAATTGTAGTTGTCATTCTTATTTTCTTAAAATGCTATAACTACTACATAAACTCAGTAAAGAAAGTAAAGACAGAAAATTGTTAATAACACCCTTAAATGTGTGATGTAGACACATTTAAAATAACCAGACTATATTTGAGAATTAATTTTACTTATTTAGGTTTTATAGATAATATTTTTAGAGTAAATGTCTCGCCAGTTCATTAAGGTCAGAATACAGAAAAAAATGAAAATTTTTACCATCTACTTTTGATCAAACCCATTATAGTAGACGCACGTTGTTGACTTTGACCTTTGTTTTCTCCACAGACCAATCTCAAGTTGGGGATATACGTTGTCTTCCTAAAGGACTGGCTGACTGTTTTTCCAAAAGAGCGCATTTTAATTGTGCGACTAGAGGACTACAGAGTCAACCTAAAAGCAGAATTTAAAAAAATTCTCACTTTCCTGGATGCAGGTATGAACATAAAATATACATAATAATAATGACTTTTATACAGTACATGCAAACCCAGAATTTTAATTGTGTTTTGTGGTTTCCTATAGATCCATTTTCAGAGCAGCTAGAGGAAGAATTGATCCAAATACCCATCCCAAGTCATCTGCAGTCGGCAGACAAATTGCCTCAAAAAATACTTCCATCGACCAGACAACTACTTTACGAATTTTATCATCCTTTCAATGACAAACTTGCAAATTTGCTTGACAACAAAGGTTTCGTTTGGAATGGCTCTAGTTAAACATTAGGCATGTTTTACTAATGTTATCCAGAGTCAACCATTCATTCCTTGCAATACTATATAACAGCGGTTAATTGTGCTTTTAAAACAGCATTTTCTTGGATGGGTAAAATTACCAAAACTCAATTTTGGAGTTAGAAAACTAGAAAACTATTGTGGTATTATGGGTACTGACATTCATTAAGTACACAGCTAAAGAAGGGATTGGGGCATATAGAGAGGACGGGCATTAATTAGGAGAAACTTAGTGTATCTAGAGTTCTTTGATACATACTGTATAAGTATATGGCAGAAGGACATCCATATTTTTATGTCATGTGTTCTCGTTATTTACACTGGTACAAAACACAGTACTCACATTGAAATACAGCATATAGCACATTATAGCACAGTACAAAAAAAAAAACACTGGATTAGTAAACATTTATCCACAGCACTAGGCTGGTTTGTTCAGATCTTTGAAATAAATTAAGAAATATAACATATTTTTGTACAAAAATCACCAACCGACCAAGAGATAAAAGATACTGATTTTTTTTATTTATTTATTGACATGACAAGAGTTGGTAGATGTATCTTAATATCTTTTAAACCAGTTTAAGTAGTTAGAAGCAAAAAGAAATGTATATATGTGTGTGTGTGTGTGTGTGTGGGTGTGTGTGTGTGTGTGTGTGTGTGTGTGTGTGTTATGTAGGGGACTTTGATTTCAGATCAGAATAAGAATGACACTTTTTTGTTTAATCCAGTGGAACTTGTTGGTATCTTTTAACTATAAGATCACATGTTGGGAATAAATAAATGAAATAAAAATAGTAAACAAGAGCCATGTGTGAAATGTAAATTGTAGCAAATTTTAAGATGTGCTCAGTAAATCACACAAAAATTCAGAATACTGCAAAACCTGGCATAATATTGTACAGTAAAAGAGCCATAAGCTCCGATGCTAATTACAATGTAGTACTGCTGAAATAAGAAGTACTTGAGAAAAAAAGATAGCATTTAATCTGAAAGACAGGAGTGCTTCCTATTCAAGCATCAAGAAACAGGACTGTAGATGAAGGATAATGGCAAGTTTTATGCAACAAAAAACGAACAAAGCTGAAAACGGAGCACATTCAAAAAGTGTGGGCTCATTTGTAAAGATAATGTCTCTTCAAATCAAAAGTACCTTCTAGAAAACACTTGAAGGTGAACGTTAGAAAAATTGATTATGGTATGACCAGTTAGTCAGTTCAATTTTGCCAGTATTACATTCATGTATTTTCGTATCTTGCTTTCTATGTTGCTGACTTCCGCGTTCTTTGATAAGGAAACAATAAGTACTTTTGTACTGTATTACCTAAAAAAGATTAAACGTGTGGACGGTTGAGCTAATACCGTTTTTTTTACGTTATTGGCGTTGCACCATGCCAATTCTACATGATTTCTTTCTGGTGACAACTATTCCCTGCAGTTCTGTGACTGACCAACAGAGGGTGGCATGATCCAATTTAAACAATTGGAAAGTAGAGCGACACTTAATGCATTTGTTATTGTTTTTTATCGTTTGTCGTCTACTCTCAACAACTCAGTGTTGTAGATCAGTTGCTTTGAGAAAAGAGCAAACAAACGAATAAAACATTGTAAGAACAACCGTTAATTTTTAATTTTAATCTTTTCTTTTCCTACTAATATGAAACTGCACACCATACGAATTATTCCAGTAATAAAACTGCATTTACAAATCAAACACCTCGCCCTCAGAGCGTTAAACTATAATAACGATGCTCTTCGTATCAAACGTCAATTAATTTAAGGAAATACAATTTAAATACATGTACTTTTATTTTATTTTTTTAATTCACCTTTTAAATGTTTAGCTACTACAATGGAAAAATTCATATCCACTCTGAAATTTAGAAAATATTTGTAAAATGTCCAAAAAGTAAAAAAAAATACACTAAAAAAAGACATACAAGTTTTGCGGTTTTCGGTGTTCAGCATTTTATAAACTCAGGCCAAAAGGTGTTTTGTACACTGTTCTGGTGTGTTTTTCCAAGATATTACTTTTAAATGTTTTAAATGTTAAAGGTATTTAATATCTTGGTAGTATTTTCGTTTCTCAACATGTAGAACAATTCACGCTTACGTCAGTAAACATCAAGTCACCGCAAATGAACGAGAGAGAACTATATGTCCACTGATCGCCTGTTTAGTTCTCTTTCAGTTGGTTTTTCCTCTGTTTCAGGGGCATGGTGACGTACAATGGAGCCTCGGTTCAAATCTGCCTTTTGCCCCAAGCGTTCTGTCAAAAGAAAACAATGTGCCAAAGCAATTTTCGGCTTATTACCCAAACTTCATGTTACAGATCAGTGTGCAGTCTGCCATTTTTATTGAATTCACATAAAATTAAAACAAACATGTTTTAACAGCCTAACATATAGGCCTTCCCAATATTATGGGTTGGACATTGTCCACATTTGTAGATCAAATAGATATTAACGATAAAATCGTCATGTAGTATAATCCTATTGACACAAATCACAAGCGAAGATCGTTTTAGGACAGTTTTCACACGATGGTTGTAAGCTGTAATGTAAGCTTTTGTTTGCTCAGTTTTTTTGTTGTCGACCATATTCGTGCCAATGTGATCTCTAATTGAGTTTTCCTATGTCAGTGCTGCTTCGCATATTTAATTAAAATCGAAATTGAAAGTCAATTGTTTGTCATTGTGAGACAGCACACCACTGCATACAACGACATGGGACCTCTGTCTTTAACCCATCACCGTGCTGGTGTGTGGGGACCGTGTCACGCTAAGTGCGACCTCAGTGGCTCGTTGGCGGCTGTCGGATGTGGACCCAAGTCCGCTTCTTTAACCACCACCGCCACCACTTCCCCTTAGGAAGTTAACCGACGTGTTTATGATTGTGGTATATATAAGTGGCGCGTCTATCAGTACTTGGTAATGAAGATTTATTGCGATTTCGATATCAGACTCCAATACGCTGTTAATACCGCGATCCTTGACATAGAAACAAAAGCATGAAACAAAGTGAGAAATACTTAATAAAAATAACCGACGTCTTTAAACGTACTGCATAATATTCTATTTATCACATTGTAGATTTAATTGTCTCGCACGCACTGACAGTCCTGCTTCGGCCGTACATCTTGGGGGGGGGGGGGGGCTGGGGGGGGGGGGGGGCTGGGGGGGGGGGGGGGGAGGGGGGGTGAGGGGTGGGTTGCCCGGCTGGGAAGAAGCGATTATCATTAAGGAACTACAGTAAATGGTGACTTTTTAAACCGACGACCAGGTGACGAGCTGCACACGCTCCGCTTCTCTCACTCACCCACTCCTCCCCCGCCTCCCTCCACCGCACCTTCGGCGTTTCTGATTTTTTTTCTACCCCCCCTCTCTCTCCCTCCCTCTCTCTCTCTTTCTCTCCCTCCCTCTCCCCATGTCATCTCTCTTTTCGCCTCTTTCATACTAAATGAACACGCGCGCACACCGGAGTGGACGGAGAGCAGAGCCAAGAATGAACGGATATCCCTGGTCTCAGGTCTGATCTCAGATTTGTAGATTTGTTCGTTCACAGAAACCAAGTTCGTTCTAAAGGTGATCCACCGGAAGTCACATTTTACTGCAGGACAACTCTGACCTGTGGACTGAAATGACGGAAAGTGTGGCTATTTCCCTGCTGTGCCGCTGAGGGGGACGAGGGGAACGAGGGGAACCACTGGAATGCCTTTTTGAGACGACGGCCACCATGCAACAACATTTGGACATGGGGACGCATTACTATCCCCCCGACGTCCACGCTGACAACAGAACCCACCGTTATAGGAGTTTCATGATAGAGGAAATCCTGACAGAACACACAGCCTCAGCTCCGGCCGGAGAGCTCCTCAAATTTGGGGTACAAGCTCTGCTGTCCGCCCGGCCTTTCCACAGCCAGCTGGGTAAGAGCAGCGAACGACCAGTGTGTACACTAGTGGTAAATGTAGTAGTAAATGACAACAACATATATAATATACATGTTGTGTTACAATGGATGTTGGAAATACTAACTGGGAAATAGTATTTTGTAAAGCGTTGACTGGACACCATCACTCTTTACCGTTTAAACACTGAACACAAAACGTAGAGCATCGTTGCAATTTTACATTACTATTTTATATGTTTAATTGTTTTAATTCGTATTCTGAAGTACAGCAGGATTGTTTGAACAACTGGCTACAATAATATCAGTCAGAATCACATGTGAGCCGTAAGACTAAACCTTTAAATATTTCTAATAAGAAAAATCGAAAGAAAACTGTATATTTGTTTCTATAATAACATGAGATGTGAAAAGATTTCTCTGTTTTGTTCCATTCTACCCTCTGTCATGCCAACAGGGGGTTTTAAGGTAAAGATTGTTCCTTCTGATCTTATTCTGAATAGTTCTGAGGGATTTTTGTAGAACAGCCACACAGATCATGTAGTAATCCTCTGTACAACAGAACATCACCTGGGAATAAATGGAAATTTACAGTCTTACAGAAATGAAGCCACACTTTCTCTGGGGTATACCCTGTATGTTAGCACACAAAAAAAGAAATTACTTTCTTCTGATACTGAATGTACTAATACTCAGTTATAATATAGTTCTTCTACTCAAGTGATAAATTATCAAAGCTGGTAATAATTTGTAAACAGAACAGACTATCTTACCTGAACAGCAAATACCTTGAGAGAAGTACTTTATCACAGATACCTGTACACTTCTCTTTGGTAGACCCACAGAGCATGATGTATTTAGAGAGTTATTGTGAAGGAGATTCCATTCTGTATCCGTTTATATTTGCCAGAGACTCGTCCATCCTAAAGTACTACATTTCCCTCAGTTTATAGTGAATAGGTTCATTTGCCCATTGTCGATATTGTAAAATGTCATTTTTTTTACATTAAATTCCCTTCATGATGAATCTAAGTATAATACAAATCATAAAATCTAACTCACAAAAAGAAAATATTTCGAGTGCTACAGATCTGTACGCTGATATCTTATCTAAGATATTCACAGGCTGGTTCCGCCTGAAAATGCAGTATTTATAAAATGTTCAACGATCCACACTGAACTGACTGTATCTTTCACTATTACCTTTCAAGCGTTAAAGGCAGAGCAGACGAACATCTTCAACTTCCCCATGTCCCGATTATCCTGCTCACTGGCCTCTCCACTGGGTCCACCCCGAGCCACTGAGGCCACAGGCCTGCAGGTCGGCGCAGCATCTCACCACCGGCCGCTGGACCTTCATCTCCACGGGAAAATGGACCTGGGCGAAGGAGGCGGCAAAGTTAAGAAGGGCCGTCGCAGCCGCACCGTGTTCACCGAGCTGCAGCTCATGGGCTTGGAGAAACGCTTCGAGAAGCAGAAGTATCTGTCCACGCCAGACAGGTGTGTGTGTGTGTGTGTGTGTGTGTTGTTATTTAAATCCTGTGACAATTAGCAAATCACAATTCTTTCCTATTTTAATATTGTTTTTATAATAATAATAATAATAAAGGTTAACGAGTTATTCTAAAGAGAATTACATTTATTTTTACCTTTTATTTTCTATCATATTCTGAGATCCATTCATCACCATTCATATTTCTGATGGTCAAGCCAACAACGGCCTTCAAAGAGCAGTCAGAGTTGCCAGATTTTAAGAAATAAGGTTGTTTACCTTATTTCTTAAAATAATAATAATAAAATAATAAACTTGTTGGTTATAGGTTAGTTCACAGAGGGTTTCGAACATAGAGAACAATGCATTTAATCAGGTAAAAAATGATGGGCCACGTAACAGTTTCTCCTGACCTGGAGCCCGTAGATAATCAAATAAGGCTGGTTGTTTTTATATCTACGGTACAGTATTGATGGTAAGGGTCAAAGGTGAATTTATTTTAATAATTGCAAAACAAACCACGATCAACTATAAGCTACAACAACAAACAAAGTGTATCCTCAGTGTAAAGCTTTGATTTTATTCCTTCACAGAATAGACCTCGCCGAGTCCTTGGGTCTCAGTCAGCTGCAAGTAAAAACATGGTACCAGAACAGACGGATGAAGTGGAAAAAAATTGTAAGTAACTGTTTTTATACAATAAAGTTAAGGCCGGTGCGGTTCATATATCTAAAATATTACACGATGTGTTCATTTGTGTGCGATTGGTTGCTTCGTCAACCAGATAAAGACGAGTGACTCTCTACATTGTTTGATTAAATCAAACAATTAAAATGATTTATAGTTGTGGTAACCACGTATTCGTCCGATTAACCGTACTCCACTTTTGTATGTATGCATTTTCTATTACACTGTCAACGGTCGCGCTCTTGTTTTGGATCATTTTGGAATTTTTGAGCGTAAACGTAAACTGTGTTCACTCAGGTGCTGCAGGGAGGAGGCTTGGAGTCACCGACTAAACCCAAAGGCCGTCCGAAGAAGAACTCCATTCCCACCAGCGAGCAGCTCTCCGAGCAGGAACAGTCTGCAGCGGATGCCGAGCAGAAGTCTGAAGGCTGCTGCTCCCACTTAGAGGAGACTCTGGAGGAATAACGATGAGTCACACGAGCCGCAGACTATCACGTCTGCTTGACGTTTTCTTGAAAAAAAAAAAGAAAAACTCAGTCGGCATGGATAAAGCCAAGGATATTATGTTTTCCTGATGTCCACGAAGGCCTCACATAGACACAGCTACGGGCTCAGAAGGAAACATTTTTCAGCAACCTTGAACGTTTTGTGGTGGTTCGGCAGTACATTATTCCGCCGGCCGTGGTAAACCTGCTGCTGTGTAGAGGAGCAGCTCAGAGAGGAGCCACACCTTCGTCTGTTGTCAGTTCCTGTTCTGTAACTGCACACAGTTTGATTATTAAATATATTTTCACCAATTGGCCCATTTTTTTATTGTGACGTTTGAGGGGAGTCTGTAAGACATTTCGTCAAAGTTCACTCAAATCTAGACACAAGTGACTTGGTTTTACACAGAAATTGTTTTTATTAACAATAGCAATGCCTTCAATTTATTCCGAGACAATATTCGATGGTTGTCATTGGTACAACCTACACCACTGCTCCAGTGGATGCACAGACTGCGGTAAAATGTAACATTTAGAATGAATTTAGATCAAACGTGACCCTCAGTTCATCAAACAGAGTCACATCACGTCAGAGTTATTATGCGCCGGTCTGTGGTTTATTAAGAACAACAACAAAAACAGCGTTGATGGCTGAGTAAACAGTGGTGACATCAGAATAATTACTTTGATGTAACATGAACACAATCCTTCAGCAGTCAATGATAAATGGCTCTTTATAGACACTTAGCAATGACGTTATATTTGTTGAAAGAAACAAAAATCAAATCAAATCAGACGGATACTCCTACTGTTTTCACCTGCTATCTTTGTCACTGCTTCTTCTGTGGTCGTTTTTTTTCTTAAGGAAATCCTCCCTCTGTATAGTTTAGTTCGACATCATTTCATCATTTCAATGTTTTATATGCGATACAGAACTTGATTCTTAATACTTAATCAACACAATTATTATTCCATTAGTATTATTATTCAAACGTTATTTGTCGCTGGTGAAAATCATGCCGTTAGTAAGACGTCTTAGTTTCAGTCATTTAACTATCGACTAGCGGGTTGATGACCATGTTATGATGATTAGTTACAAATCTATCAGCGTGGACTCAATATCAAACACATGTGTTTATTTGTGATGTGCACGCACGTTATTTCAATATATCAGGTTGTAGCGCACAGCAGACCTAAATGAAAGAATGAAACTGTGTCACACATTTAAAATTCAATTACAAATATGTCTTACGTGTGAGATCATCTATAAAAGCGTCTCACTTTCCTGTAGTCATTATGCATCGCTTCACCTCCATTTATGCTGGAAATGAAAACAGAGTCCAATAGTTCATTTGAAAATATTTACATTACTGTTATATTGAAATATATATTGTAATATATCTGCCACATGCAGAGACGCAGTTGTGGGATTCCCTCCTGCTGCACAAGGTGGAGAGTTCGACTGCACATAGTGAAAAATAATGCAATATCACCCTTAAAAAATAACGTTTTCTTTTTTTAATTAATCCAAACGTTACATTTTAAACCAATCTTGAATTGACGTCGTTGAAGCTCTACAACAGATTTTAATCGAGCTCCTCCAGATTCTTTTTTCCAAAACTAAATATGAAAGGAATTCATATTTAGTACTTTAACAATTTTGAAAGAACTCCTTCATTAATCTTTAAATGGAGGATATGTAGATAAAGAGTTTAGTAATAATATAAATAATGGGGGGTTTTGTTTCAACTACGATATATATTTAATTATTTAAAATATATATTAAAAAACGAGAGTCTTGGGAGCTGGAGTTCAAGTACGATTTACTTTTTACGTATCATTTAGCGCGATAATTCAAACAGTTCAATTCTCTCTATGTGTTAATGACTTAATAATCAATTTAAATATTAATGTTTTAATAATCTATGAGAGACTATTGGTTTATCTTTTCTTGTACTCGAATGAAGAAAAATATAATTCGGAAAGTACCACCGTCGTGGATTAGAAATTGGCGTGTAAACTGCGGTACGTTTCAGAGGTGTTTCCGGCGGAAGGATTTTCCTGCTGGAAATGATAACTCTGTCGTCACGATCGTCAGGAATGACAAACGCAAACACATTCAAACACGCATACCGAAGTGTGGTGGAGCTGAGATAACACTGTCAGTTGAAAACCGACACTCCTGACAGCACTGACACTCCTGACAGCACTGACACTTCATTTGTTCCTGCGTGTTGGAATCAGACAAGCGGGAACATGAACGCAACACACTGTGAGTGGCCCGTATGCTGCGTTTTAAAAAAGGATAACTTAACTGTCTCAAGTTATCTTTTTTTTATTTGCTAAACCATGCATCGTTATTTTACAAACGAAACAATGCACCTAGTATCGTTAGGAACATTTATTCATTTTTTTCATGTAGCCTACTACCTTAAAAAGGATCAAATAATATAAGTAAAGTAAATAGGAAAGCGAAGGGTTTTAATGTTTGAATATGTTTATCAGATTAAACATTTTGTGGTTATGCTTAATCACGATCGTCATTTACCATCATATATTAATCAAAGCAAGTTGTGATCCCTAAATATGACAAAAGTGTTTTTGTCGTACTTTGCTGAAAGAGAAAGACACAAACAGGAGGTAAATGTATGTGTTTCACACCTGTTTTTATTTGTTACTCAAAAATGCCAAGAAAATTATGCAGAAGTACAACTCAAACCTGAGTAAATGTATGTAACTTTGTACCTTTTTCATAGATATTGGTGGATGTCAACGGTGGCTGGTGGAACGTGTTAAGAGTTGCTTTTTAAAAACTCTGACGAAGTTTATCAGTGCACAGTCCCCTGTCAGTCAGATAGTCAGCAGTAATTCTCATTGGAAGTTGAAGCCTTCGTTGGATGAGATGTCATTGTGGGCTCCGAACAATCACGTATATTTCGAGTATGTATAAAAGAAACGGTAAGTAAACAGACTGTGGGATTATTGCACTGACAGTCCGCGTCATTCTGACTGAATGACAGCGTCGTTTGACTGGTAAAATTATTCTTTTTATTTGATTATTATTATTATTATTAATTTGACTGCTTCAAATTAGTACGTGTTTATTCTATTAAGAGGAGATCAAACAACAGCATTAAATGTGGGGACGGTGTCGATGATTTCTTCAGCAGTACTTCGAAGAGTTAATCTACCAAATTTAAAAATAAGAGGTCTTAAAATCCAAGGTCAGTGTTTTAATGTGTTCTAACCTTGACAACCATAGCATGATAAACCTAACATTAACTTGTCAACCTGCTTTTTTGTGGGAATGTTTCCCCTTCAAATTGTTTAAAGAAAATATTACTGTTAATCCAGATATATCTAGTTGCACCAAATATGCATACTAATTTCAAGGCTCAATCAAAAGCAGATTGACATAAAGAGCAGGGCTCAACGTGCATGGTTACTCACGGTAAAGTGAAGGGAAACAGGATCACTATATGGAAATGTATCATGGTAATGGACAGGTAATACACACAATACTATGAAGTTGACAGAGAGTGAGGCTGTCTTTGCTGGAGCTGCAGAAGAGCAGATGAAACCTTCAGCCACGTGCTCTCAGACACTTTCTCCTTGTCTCTGTCTCAAGGCTCTCAAAGAGTCAGCCTGTCATCTATCTGCAAATTCAAAACATCCATTCTTTTCATTTGACTATCCAGGAACAAACTCTTTGTGACATAGCGCTGCTACAGGCACACAGTGAGAGAGTGGGTCTTCACAGGTCTAATCTTAAACAGAGCCCAGGGTCCGTTTCTGGTGTTAGGTGGGGCACTTAGCCCATCTTCTCAGGATAATTTCTCCACAATTTCTTTGGAAAACCTATCTATCACAGGTAAGACATTATTTGGATGACGGTTAATGTTATGTATAGTGAATTCCTTTCTTCTTTCAGTACGTCTCTGGGAGAAAAAAAAACTGACATGGGGCTGAGAGGAGTTAAAAACATTAGTACAAAATGACAAAGAACAAAAATATCCAAGGAAAAGAACTAAAGAAAATGTCAAATTAATAGGAATAAATCTCTGTTAAAACTATACATTTTCGCACAACACCTCAAGATTTAAACTGTCCAGCTATTCTAAATGAATGATCTAAAGAACCAACACTATTTCTACTGCTCTGATAACAATCAGTAACTTTACTTTCAAGTACAGTACAGTATGTATTCTTTATTGTTTATTGTTGTAGACTGTCTACATTAATTTCTTTATAATAATGTAATGTATTTGAATGCCATGTTTCCTCATGGTTCACATGCACTGGTGAAATATTTTTTTATTTCAGTAAATTATGTGAATTAAACTGACAAAATGAAATAGGAATACTAATAGGAATACCGTATCTATATTACTATAACAAACCTTTTGAAATTAATGACTGACCACTGCATATTATTATATATATTATGCATTGTTTATCTTTACAGATACAATGGCTGTTGGGTGCTGTGATGCACAAGGTGTGAAGAATTTTGACAAACCGTCACAGGAAGGAGGCAACCCTGGTAGTAATTCAGTATACAATAATGGTACAGATGCTGAGGAGAGCCCACAGGCCTCAAAGTATGAATTGTTTTAGTTTTATAAATGTACAACAGGAGCAGCACAGTAGATACTACTAAAGAATTTCAACACATTCATTTTTAACTTTACCAGTTAGAAATACATTTTTGCAATTGTATTAAATTACATACATCAGCCTCCAGCTCTTCTTCAGTGTTGATTCTCCACTGTCTAGTCCGTGCCTCTCCAAGCCAGACCTGCAGTGTGCAGAAATGGTCAACTGGTGTGATTAATTCCAGAAGGGAATTTTGAAGAAAATTACCTGACTTCATTCAAAAGTGGAGACAGCAGTTTGGAGAAATTGAATTCCTGTCAATGTATTTTTTCCATATGTTCAAATGAGTCATTCCCTTCACTATTTAAGTGAAAAAGAAGAAGTCATCCCAACATAGCAGCAGGGTGAGAAGAGAGATTGATTTTGAGCAAGCACAAAAAGGGGTAAAATTTCAAATAGTAATGCAGTGGCTGTTTAAATGAAATGAGATGATAAAAACCCATAATCCACCCAGCCCTAAAATAAAGTCAAAAGCCTAATATTGAGTATATGTGGGTTCATAAAGTTTAGGGGCTCAATCTCTCACTGTGATGTTCTTTCTGTATATGGGAATTGCATACTTTTCTCCGTGTGCCTAGTTTTTCCCTTCATTGGCCAGTTTCCTTCCACAGTGAAAAATCAAGCAGATTGGGTTAATGCAGATTAGCATAATCTAAATTGAGCATTGATGCGGACGGCGTTACAACTTCTCTCTCAGCCGAGAGAAGGACCACGGTAGGTGGACACAAAAGCAGGAGCACAAAAGAGGAGGCAAAGTGAGTACAACGTTTATTTACAGAAAGAGGAATAATGCAGTGTATATCGATAAGGGCGCGGGCCTGTTGGCAGGTGGCGATGGGCAGATTCCATATCGGGCAGCACCAAAACAGGAAAGTGACGGCAGTGAATCCTCCAGTGAACAATACCGCAGCGGAAATCCCAAACTCCCGCGAGGTTAACGCCAATACACACAATTCCACGAGTGGCAAAAATACGGATAACAAGCTGAGATGGCCAAGCAAATCGCTGAAACCACTGGTTTATCGATGCAAATGGGCATTAACGCGCTGGCGGCTGCCATCTTAAATACCCTCTCAGCCTGAAGAGACGACCACTGGCAGGTGAGCAGATCATTAACTCAACCCAGCGCCGCTGCTGACATGCAAAACACAATCACGGGAAGTTTATATATATATGGCTACTTTTTAACTCTTTCACCTAGTGTTATTTATTAGCATAGTCAGCAAAATGGCGTTTAAATAAAGTTCTTAATGCATATACGTTTGAGGAATTACAAAAAACAGGAATAATAAGACATATAATGTAGTAGAAAATCCATATATTAAAAAACTAACATGAATTCTACGTTTATGTAATAGCCGGTGGTATTGAAAACTATGTTTAATGTAATTTGAAGCATTCAGTTTGCTTAGAACTTCGTGTTGTTCATGTACTGAGTGAATATACAGTATACTTTTACATACCTCATAGCTGCTAAGTGGCATATCTGTGGGCTCTGTACACTTTCCCTGTTCATTCCCTGCAATATTCTTATATTTGATATGATATTGAATTACTTTTATTCTATACTATACTACAAACTTTGTTTAATAGCTTTTCCAACACAGTCCTACTTGTGAACAACATTTTCTGCCCAAATTTCGACTTTTTCTTTCATTATCAATGTAGCTACATATAGCCTAAAAGTCGAGAAGTGGATTTTCTCTCAGTGTCAGGAAAGACAGAGCTGTGGATTTTGCAGTATTCACCCTGGTTATGTTTGCCGTTATTTCCTAAACAATTTTGCGAAAACCTAAGGCAAGTGTATCATTGGTCACAAGGTCTGATTGTAGTTTAAGCTTAAACCCAAATTAGTATGCTGCAACAATATCTATCTTGCTCATGAAATAGCTGACATTCACCACTAAATGAACAACTGTTAACCTTTCATCCAAAGTCATTTGACATTAACTAATCCAGACTTCATTCCTCCTTCCAACTTTTACATGGTACATTATTTTAAAACCACCTCTTTTTCCAGCTCATTCCCAGGGCATCCTATTATTCGCAATTATGTCATATTTCTTCAAGGACTATAAAGTTATGGACAAAACATTAATGGTAACATAAGCAAGATACATAATAGTTAGATAGATTTGAAATACATTTCCCAATCACAGCCGTATTGAGCAAATGGTTTTTATTTTGGAAGATTCTTTAGTGTCCAGTCCACTCCCACTTGGTCTGATTGCAGGCTGCTGGAATATATAGCATAGATTAAAATAGCAGGAGGCCTTCGGATCTTGCCAGCAGAAGACACAGAGATAGTAATCTCCCAGATGTGCCTCATGTGGCTGTATAATTGCTTGGGAGATTTTACTGCTAAGTCGTATATTGATTTAAGTAAAAACAGTCATGGTACCCGTGTCGGACTGTATGGTAATTACCCAATGACCTTAGTGAGGGTAACAAGAGGTGACTGTTTAAATCACTGTTGCTTGGCTATTGTTGAGGGCAAGATACAAAAGCAAGGGAAGTTATACACTTCATGTCTTCAGCTAGTGCTGTTCTGATTTTGAAGATTCTGTAACACAGTGTTCCATGGATCTTCCTGGTGTGTTAAATGTCCCCTTGTCTGCTACTGGTGCCTGTCCCACATCAGAGTGTCCAACAGGGCAGGCTTACCTGTAAGACTTTTTTCAGTATTTTTCAGTATCCAGAGTCTCCTGTCTTAGTTAGGTCCAGTTCACCAATCCCAGGGCTGAGATTTGGGAATCCATGGCTGAGGTTAAACTGAGGCCAACATTGAGTTTCCACTGACCCAGTTTTGAGTTCTCTGCCCAATTTCTGTCTGACATTTCTGTCTAGATTGGCTCCTTGTAATGTCTTCTAGTTTCTCCCCTGCCATGGCTCTCAGTGAGACTCCTTTCTTCTCATCTCTTTGTCAATCTTCCTGTCTTTTTGTCAACCCCAGAGGATAGTGTTGCACACTGCATTGTTCGGGACAGATGTCATTTTTTCTATATTTACATTTGGCTTTCTATTAATATACTATATTTATATTATTGTATTATTTCTTTGTATGCTTGGTTGTGTATGACCAAAATCCTCATTATTCATACAAATACATTTATGCCAAAAATGATATTATTTTTGTCTACACAGTTTGCATTACATGACTGAAGTTGTACAGTACCAATACTTTGTCTCACTGTTTTGTCAAACATATTTTGGTTTGAACCAACAGTTAGCCTCACACTTTTGATATAACAACGTTAGATGAAACGATACTGCAGAGTTCAGATAAAAATGCACTTATACTAAAGTTAATCATATACCCTGTCATACAGCAGTTATCTTCAGGTTAAATATACATTCTATGTTAAACTAACACTAGAAGGGAAGGAAGCAACGAGTTATGAACTAGAGAAAGACATAAGGCAATAAGGTAAAGTTCAAACTTTACCTTATTGCCTTATGTCTTTCTCTGTTTCATCCGGAATGTTGCTTCAGTGTCAAACTGCAGGTCCACAGAGCAGCTCTGAACAGGAGGTTGGTGTAACCATCTTTCATTTCAGACAAACATGTCTGGAATTGTAAACCTTTATGGTGTTAAGGGTGTTACGTCTGTCAGAATACCTTATACGGTGGATGGTGTTGAGAGTGTTATGTCTGGTAGAAGACTAAGTGGTATACATCACTTAAATTCATGAAAATCAATGGGGAAATCTACTACCCCAGAAAGATCACATATACAAGACCTTTGATAATAGATGGTGGTCACACCAATTCACTCTTAAGACACTCTGAGTGGCTTTTGATGACATAATTTTTTTAGGAATATGCAAGATTTTTTTTTTTGAAAAAGTTTATTGGTTGCCATGTATGGAAATAAGAAGGTAGGATAATTCAGTGTCTTTGAGTATTTTAGAAGTGGAAAAGCACATATAACGACAGTCTCTTCCAGAACAGTGTGAATAGTAAAATTAACTGTAGTTCTTTATCACTTAAGGGATTTTTGAAAAGCTCAACCAGCAAAGAACTGATAAGAAGAACAAGTGAAAATAAATAAAAACAATGAATAAATAAACAATCAAACTGCAGAGATACTAAAAAGTAACAGACTGTAACAGTATTACTCCTTAGTCTTCTGCACACAGAAACGGAGAACTGTAAAGAGAGCGTTTTGAACAGATTTCAGGTGGATTGAGTCATCAAAGTATCTCAAACAGTCACCTAGAAGGTAAAGAAGCTAAAAGCAATCGCTGTGCTTTGTTTTGACAGGCTGAAAAATATTCCAAGGGCTAATATTTACAGGAGACAAGCATCATCAAACCAGGAACTAGACTTGTGAATGACCTCGGTAAGTGTTTGCCATCAGTTTACCTAGCTAATGTGGAAGTTGGACTATGGGTTTTACTCCAGTCATCAAATGTCTCTGATATTGTTAACAATGTTTGAGGATTAAGATAGAAAGGCTTCAGCTAAGTATGCCAGCCTCAGCTCCCAATCTAAACAGATTGATAAAGTGCAGGTGGTTCTCCAACTGCTTTGGCACCTCAGAGTCGAACATTAACCCTGAGCTGGGCTTCCTTAAAATATTAAATGAAGACATAGGTCAAGGGCTCCTGTCCAAGGACTCAGTCAATACTGTGACTATCTCCAATTAACCCACTTTGGCCAAAAGAACAAAGAGAGACACACACATAGAGAGAGAGAGGTGTAAATCAGACACTGACTGATGACCCAACTGCACATTACAAAGAAATTTATTTTGCATAACACACCATATAAATGTCCATCAATACAATGTTTGAAGTGGAGAAAATAAATTAATAATTTCAAACTGCATTTGTTGATCCTTCTCTATATTTTGGACCAGGATGTTTCTCCACCTAAAATAATCATTTAATTAATTATGTAAAGTTTATAGGCACGTCAACATTTAGGGCTCACATGTCTGGCATTTTGTGTTTTGTGTTTGTATTTCACTAAGATGTCATGATTACCTAATCACTCTGTGCTTTACACATGTAGAATGGAAGCATAAACTTTAACACAAGTAAAAAGAGCAGCGAAAACACGTGTTAGAACATTCCTCTAGAAAGGGAAGTGATTTAATGTGTATTCGTGCAAATAACTCTGCATTAATACACTGAAGGCACCATACACCTGTACCACAACAACCACAGCATTCCTCAGTGACAGCTTAACTTGTCACATCCTTTCCTTCTCCTTGTCCCCACCTGTGGTAGTCACAACAATTTGTGCTCCCACTGCTTCATCCTATCATCCATCTCTGCCTGACTGAGTCGTTTTGTTATGACAGGCTGAGTGAAAAAAAACAGCTGGTGAAAGCACGCAGCAAAGCCGTAGCCGTGGGGTAAAAGGCTGCTGAAGTGTTGGCTGACACAATCAAAACTTTATCCATTAAAAGCTCTTAGATGAAGACAGCAGCAGTTTGTAACTTAAAGGCTTTGTTAATAGTTTGTGTTAATGCTCGCTCTTAGCTGATACCAAGTGACAGCTTGGCCTCACTGCACAGGCGGAGTGGAGTAATGGAGGTTACATAGTATCATGTCTCAAAAGTACTAGTAATTAATACAGGGATTAAAGTTTTAATATTTGTATTTAACATTAATTGCATTTTTCTGCATTAAATCACATTGTTATGCAAAAATATTACAAATCAAATTAATTATAATTTTAAAATGTAAATAAATCAAGTTATTTATTTAATTTAATTAATTATTTAATACAAATGTTGTTTGCTAGTTTTATTTAAAAGAACTGCTGCATGAAAAGGATATAATAAAATGTTTTTGCAAACACTACAAAGAAGAAAGGTGTGTTTAACAACAATATTCTACTTACACACTGGTAGTTAAATTATTTCATGTAAATTTAAACTCAAGAATGTATGTATTCAAATACTTAAAAAAAAAGAAAAAAAGATTTGGAACTGCTTTTTTTTTCTGTGGCGGTGTCCTGATGTTTTTCCCTAACCACCAGAAAGACATATGTGGCATTACTGTGATGCTGCACTCTTAGACACACAATGATGTCAGCCTCAAGCCAAAATCTAGCTCCTTCTGTGACCCGTGACTTCTCTGTATCTGTATAGCCAGTGAGCAGATAAATGATAACAGTCAGAAAAAACTGCATCAAAGCTTGGTAAAATAACTGTTGGTGTTAATGATAATAACATGTCAAACTGCCCAGTCAGAGAGATGTAGAAACAACAGCTTTCTGTCCCACAGACCCACATCGACCAGAACTCACTCGCTTTGCTTGTGATGGCAGCAGTAACACTGTCGGTATAAAAAAAGAAGGAGCACAAAATATCTGAGCGGTTTCTGTGGAAACCGTGCATATTTGAAATTCTATACAGTGATATTTTTGGGTACTGTAGCTGGCTGGTGCCCAGGCCTTAGTTGAATTATGATATACAGGAGGAAATGGCTGGTGTTTGCCAAGCGCTCCCTTTTGCCCAAGTAAATATTTGAAAATGAATGTTTGCATATTATTATTGTTGCTGCTGTTGTTAATATTATTATCATTATTGCGTATTATGTTGAAAATGTTGAAAAATTAAACACAGCTGAACTGCAAGGACAGACAGACAAACATTTGTTAAGGGTAAACCTCACCTTGTTAGTGCCCCTGTCATGTGTAATGAGTCAGTGTTGTATAAATGGGGATGTATCAGGGTTTAAAAGGCTCGGCTATGGCAGCTGAGTGACATGAACCCACACTGGCCCATCTTTAAGAGGACAGCCTGATTAGGTCATCACCTGTGTACACAAAGCCTCCCTTCACATCCTGTCTGACAGACATGAGGAGACAACTCAGTCCTGCTTTTACACTACTTTTCATCACATTGCGGATAACAGCTCTGCTGCAACCTGTACAATTATAGAACGTATTTGCTGTTCAAACAGACATTCACCAGGTGAGGTCTCCGTAGCCTGGCCTATTGTACAATCAGAGCTAAAGGAAATTTTGAAAAGTTGAGCTGTTAATACAAGTCAGCTGGAGGCTAATTACTGAATAAGCCATGGATCCAGAACCTGAGGATATTTTGACATTTTTCAGCCTTTTTATGAGAAGGAAAGTTTATTTGGTTTTTAAAATATTACTTATATTTTTTATAAATATTTCACTAATAAATAAACTAGTTTTTAATTTTTTTATTGACCAACTAAATAAATCTATAAGTTAATTATCCTACTAGCTGAAAACAATTTTATTTTGATGACTTTGCTGGAAGAACTCATGGTACTTTGTCTTAAGCAGTGAAGTGCATCTAACAGAAGAGAGGGGGCTGGGTGGACAGATTGGCCTCTTTGGCCTGACGTGGTTTAGACCTGTCACTGATCAGCATATTGATTTAGTGGCATGCTCTGCTCTAAATAAAAGAGCTGTGGGTGAGGGTAGGGGAGAGTCGTGTGGTCCATTCATTAATCAGTGAGGTAAACAGGCTATTCAGTGACACCTGGTGGGGTTAATTCCTAGGACCTATTATAATTACCACTCCCCTACTTGGCAGACACAACCCTCACATGTAACACTTGTGAGTAAAGGGAAACGAGAATTAGCAGAAACATTTCAGGAAGGCAGTCTCTAACTTAGTGAGAGGGGGCAGGGCCAGTGCCAGAAGAATGAAAAAAGTGCTTGGATATGTGGACTGATTGGAGTTTTGCCCATGGGCATAGGATTTGGAGGTGTGGGGGTGTGCCTGAACAGGGGTCAGTCCCACAGCATATTAGTGGTGTCTGTTATTTAAGATAAATAACAAAGTAGGAACAGCAGTTAATGATATCACTCATGCTGGAATATAGTATTGCCAGTATAACAGTGTTTGCATTGCCCAGATAATATGTATACATTTAACACAGGATTGAACTGAAAACAGCCTGTTAAACAATTATTATCAGAAGGGTATGTCAATGTAGTGTGTTGCTTCCAAAGGAATGCCTCCAGTGGAGTTAAACCTCTGGTGTGCAGGCCTTCCCCTCCTCTCTTTGTATTGCTTTCAGTAAAAACAAGTATCATTTACTCTGTATTTACATGAGCAAACCCAAAGCATTTTTTAATAATTTTGTATATTTTTCTGCTCAGGCTCTGTCTTGGTTTTCTTCTAGATTAAAGGACCAATCTTCTACCAGTGACTCATTACTCTCTGTATATAATAATTACCATGTGAAGTAATGGTCATAGTGCAACTGTTTCCATTCATGATGACTATTTAATTTTCCAAAAATTTGACCTGGCTCAGCAATGCTTAGCTCCTTTGCCAAAGTCAGTGCAGAACATTAAACCCCACTTTCTTTTTTCTCTGCTACACACCATCACAACATTTACAAAAACGTGACTTCAAACATTCAGCCATCCAGAAACTGTAGCAGACACTGAGATGGAGTCTCATCTGTGCTTTCCTAATGATTAAATTGTGAAAAAATTATAACAGTGAAATGACTTATCAACGTACTCCCACGTTACTTGATGTTAAAACAATTTTTTTTAGTAGTCATGCCTCAGGTGATAACATCAGCTAGCTAGAGACATATTAAAAATGATAATTAGGGATTCACTGATGCGTTAGATGAATATCGTATCGCACGATGTTCGCTTTGTTAACTGTCTTCAGGAGAATTGACACAGATAATTCACCGGTCACATATATTGTCCCTCAGAACAAAAGTACTGGTACTGCCAAGTGCTTTTGATTCAAGGTGTACTCAGCTAGGAGTACACAGACTACTGTGGGCTGGAGGCGACACCGAAACAACATAACAAATCATAATATTTACTGTGAATCACTCCTCTCTCTCTCTCACTAAGGCTGGCGTACCATGCCTTGGCAACCACAGCCACATGCAACCACCACTGACAGGCTTCTCAGCCATTAAATGTCAACTAAAAATTGACATTAAAGGTAGAAAAATCAGGTCCAGGAAAATTATTAAGGACATTTACCACCCTGATAATGGACAGATCAGGTGGCTGCCATCTGGCAAGAGCCTCTGCTCCTGTATGGCTGAGGAGGAGGCCTAATTTATCCTTAAAGGAAAATAAGATTTTATTTTGTGAGCTTAAGAAGAGTCTAGCAGCAAGTACAGAAGTTTTTATGAAGAGTTTACAAAGTTTTTTCATTAATAATCTCCAATTCTCCATCTCGAGGTAAAACCGGTGCAGGTCAGAGGTTATGTAATCAAGGAAGATCAGGGCATTTCCGGGTAAACTGGGAATACTCTCCACATTCCCAGATGGGATAGTACTTGCTTTCACTATGCGACATGGATTTTAGAAATGACCTCAGCTGCACAAAAAGAGAAAGTAGGACAACCTCCAGATGGCTTATTGTTTCACTCATCAATTATGTTTGGAGTATAAGTTGCAGTGTCTCTGTCCATGTACTTTGAAAGACAATGAGGGTCCTAACTGTTGTTGTTTTGTGTCGATAAATGCTTTAGAAAAGGGTTCAATGTTGAATAACTGTTCCCAAAGATGTACATATTGATCATTACATTTAGCCCAAAAGCCTAAAAAGATATTAAGAAAAAGGAAGAAAGTGTCTCTATAATCTGTTGGACTTTAAATTTAAATTTAGGTTACAGACTTTTTCAGGCCGTTATATTCATAATTTTTGCATATGCCAATAAACCTGTAAAACTCTTTGGTGTTATTCCCCTTCCCTTCACTGACTTACCACCCCAACTCCACTGCATCCTTCTACCCCCCTGCCGGTACTTTTCCAGACTTCCACCTTGCCCTTCTCACTCCTCCTCCCTACAAGCCCCCGTTGACCCCTCCTCTACTCTTTCATGGTCAGCCCCTCCTGTCCACTCCTCTCCTCACTCCTAACATCCCCACACCAGATGAAGACTCTGGACTCTATCTATCCATCTATCCATCCATCCATCTATCATCCATCCATCCATCCATCCATCCATCCATCCATCCTGCTTGATTCTCATGAATCACGAAACCTTTGAAACTTTTTGGTTTACTTGACACTGGTTTTCACTAAAGGATTGATCGATCGTCTCAAACTAGAACATTAGTACAAGCATAATTTAGTCTGTTGTAAAGTCTATAAAGGAACTACTTATATCTCATTTATTCTTAAGCTTCATGTTACCCAGACAGCAGTCATGCGTTACATGCTGTAAATTGCAATATACTAATGTTCCTGCATATGGTACATTTTAAAAACAAACTTAGTGAGCGATGCTTTGAGCTCCACAGTGAGAAACACTACCCTCAGGTGTGACGGGACAAGTTGTTGGCTGTTGGTAAATGTCAGATCAACACAAGTCCTTTGACATTGTAGGGCCCTCAGTCTTAATGAGGCAAGTGATTATGTGCTGGTAATAAGTGTCACAGATGGCTGTTGCGCTGCATTTTGTCATAGAGAGTGATTGCTCTCAGATGCTATGCTAACCCCCCAATCTGACATGCTACTTTGCAACCCCCCCTCCCCCCTCCCTTCAGTACCTAGCCAAAACCTTTTCTCTCTACACACTTTTCCTTCTAAACTTCTGTTGACAGACTCAACCATCTCCATTCATGCTCAGCCCTGCAGTGGTTTAGGACCAAAGTTATCAAGGTTTAAAATAGACCACCGTCAAGTCAGAGTTTTACTTTTTTGTAACATATTTCCAAACAATTGAAAAACAGAAGATGCTGATTTTCTGTGTTTTTAAACATGTTGCGGCTTATATAATTTGCAATAATAATATAATGTAATAAATTACATCACCACAGTTCATCAAGTCTGATTACATCAGTGAAAGCCACGCCCCAGAGTTAGGGTTTGCATCTTCCCTCCAAACAATATCATGGAGACTTTCTCAAGAGTCACAAGCAGGGTTGTAATATCTTGATACAATGAGAGTAGCTTTTGTTTTCTATAATGTGAAGTAAGACAATGATATAAGATGGGACCAAGATGTTTAACCAGTCACACCATTAAATCCCGTCCTTTTAATAATTTACATTTATTTATTCAGTGTGAATACAAAAATACCCACAGACTCTTCTAGATGAAAATTATCTAACAAGTAACAAGCTTTCGCTGCTGCTTTCAATCTTTCAATATATTTAAAAAAACAAACAAAACATCTTAAAGGAGCAGTCGCCGAATCTTCTCTTCTCACCTGCGCCACCTCACCCCTATGGTGTGGGTGAGGCCTTGGTTGAAACTGAGGTTTACATCACCTTGCTTCAGACATTGCTGTATTCATTCTCGAGTTTTGGCAGCAGGCAGCTGCTTGTGCTAATGAGGTCTAATTTCCCTCTGGAACACAAAGCCATTTAAGTGATGCAGTAAAAACAAGTAGTTACTGCCAAGCTCTCAAGCTAAGCATCTAAATGTTTGTATCCGGTTTTCCCATCTGAAACGGAAACAACCTTTATTAGTGAAAGTACTGTAGGTCTTGGCTCCAGATTTCTTTTTGTGTGTGTGTGTGTGTGTGTGTTTACTTCACCGTTTGCCATTTTGGTTGCTTAGTGCGCAAAAGAATCAGGATTAACAACGTTATTGTTTTATGCATTAATCTATTATTTCATGGTTGGTTTGACACAGGGCTAATATTCAGATGGAAAGAGATGAAATCCAAACACTGCCCAGTATAACGCAGAAATATTCAAGTGGGAGGTCTGTTTGCCATGTGTGTGTGTCCTTGTATGAGAGTGTGCAGGAAAGGGTCCTCTGGATTCTGCCAAACAGTTCCTGACAGAACAGTGCCTCTCTTGACCATTTCCTTCAAATAGCAATCAGGCCAAATCAAAGCAGTTGTTCCCATGCTGAATACTCCAATTGCACTAATCAACTCTGCTTAGCAGCTTCTCGGCCAGAACAGGCTAAGCCACATGGAACACACACATATGGTTATTCCATGGTATGGTAAGTCCAGTCAGAAACAATACTTATATTCTTAGGTCGGTCGGTTCAGTGCCAGAGAAGTTAAATAAATGCATGTATCGAATTAGTGAGAGGAGTCATCCAGTAATTTATGGTTGTGAAGCAAAAGGGAAAAGATAAATGTGAGCAAAACATGAGAATGCAGTTCCTGGATCTGTTGTTATCTGGCAGCAGAGGCTTACCTGTGTTTTAGTCACAAGACAACAATTCATGTAATCCTTTTTATTGGGAGTGTTTTGGGTACAACGATGATCTAAAGAACTGGATTCAGTGAAAGGTAAAGCAGATTATCTCACTTTTATACGGCCAGAGAAAGTAAAGGCACATAGAAAATGTTTCAGCCTGATCTGGCTGCACAACGTTGGAAATAGGAGAGACTTCCTTTGTGACGTATTAAAATGTCGGAAAGTTTTTCTCTTTAAACACAAACCACCTGGGACAACAGCAGCTTTTCCAGAGCCGGAATTAATCAGCAGCAATCCAGACTGGTAATCAGCAGAATACAATTAATTTGTTGAGCTGACACTCTACAAGGCAACGCTGCCTCACTGGGATGTTTAAAATGCTTTAAACATTTAGGAAATTGAGGTTAGTAAGACCACAAAAAAAAGCGTCTGGAATGCTGTGGGGATTTTTTAAAATATATATATATATA